AACGTAACGTAATCAGAGAAATCTATATAAATATATATATATATATATATATATATATTTTTTTTGTATCGAATCCATTTAATAAAGTTCTTGAAAAATGATTTAAATCTTTTGAAACACCTGGTATACCTATAAGTATCTATATACTCGAGTTCCTTTAAGCGTGCAAATGTAAGTAACAGAGAAGAAGAATAATAATACACGGGGGTCTAGTCTTAAGTGTTGTTCCTTCTTCTATAAGACAATGATACAGTTAGGATATGCTCTCAGTAGTGAGTCAATCGTAAAAGGCACGAGTCTTCTTATTTTTTGTCTTCTTCTTCTTCTTCTTCTTCTTCTTCATCATCATCTTCTCATTCTTTTTATTTTATTTCCTACGCTAAAGTATAATGAACCGTGTTGAAGCGATGATAATTACAACGGACCCGTTAATTAAGCTACCTCGTCATCCTCGGTGAACGTGTCGTATTGGATAAATAAAAAAAAAAAAAAAAGAAAGAGAAAGAAAAAGAGAGAGGAGTTTTGAAGTTAAGGTGACGAATTTTATCTTCTTATTTAGTTATTTGCTTTCGAAGCTGATCGATCATCGGTTCTACATTCGTAAAGTATCAATTTTTCTTTCAGATTTAAATCAGATTCAGTGTGTACGCGTGTGCGTGATCGAAAATTAATAATTATGATTCAAAGTTTTTCGATAAAATGACGAGAAAGTGATTCGAATATTTAGAATTATTTTCAAAAACGGAGAGTTTTCTCTCTCTCTCTCTCTTCGTAAAAACATGTTGAGACGAGGAAGAAACGCGAAACAATATCATTTAGAATTTATTTTAATAATTTTCATATTTTTTGATCTATTACGAATATCTAAACTTCAGGATCTTACTATCGATAATCAATTGGTAATTGTCGCGAATGGTAAGTGTGATATCGTAAAAAATAAATATAAATAAGAATATACTTGTTTGTGTTTGCATTGTATCTATTTTTATTTGAGTCTAGATTGAAACAGTTTTGTTGAGTGTTCAAATTATAACGGATTAAGATTTAACGAAGTGTAAATTTTTTGTGTTTTGAATATTAAAAATAAAAATAATAATGTATGTCTACTTAAAGAAAAAAGACGCTGAACTTTAAAGATTAAGTTGCTGAAGAAATCCCAATAAAGGGACTAAACGTCCAACTTATCAAAATTAAGTTCTACTTCTTTTTCTTTGATGTCCAAATTCCCTATGATACCTTCTTATTAATAATTTTATTTTTGGACAATAGAAACAACTGAATAAATAAGAATAATTTCATTGCGTATGTTCATTTAACTTTAGATTGTTATACCAGAATATCCATTGGTACAAAATTACCGGATAAAGATATTTCTCTGATTATCAAAGTGGAAAGTATTTCCGATTGCGAAGATGAATGTTCGAAAAGACGAAACTCTTGTGCTGCCTTTAGTTTTGGGTAAATATTTCACTTTTTGTATTTTAAAACAATAAATTGAAAAACAGAATATATACTTTGATAACAGTAAAGTTTCATTTCTATGATTATAAAAACTAAAATTTACTTTCTTATTAGATATTTATTATATAAATAATATTTTTGTATTCGCAGGATTAGTCAAAAAGGAAACACGAGTTGCGAGTTGAGTTCAAAAATACCAAATCCGGAAAATCTAAAAGCTAATTCTGATTACGATGTTTATTTGCGTACACAACGTTTACCGAATTGTGAATCCGATCGACTTTATAAAACTGAAAACAATGGAAATGAAAAATTAAAAAATGATACGAGAATGAATTCACGATTTGCCGGTGGTCTATTTGGATCGGCATTGTCTAATATTTATCAACCTACAAGGTAAAAATTCTAATTCGAATTTACTAATAATCAGGCGTTTAGGGAGAATACTGTTAAGGGGCACACCTAGGTGATTTTTAGAAATTTTTTTAAAGAAAACTACTGGATGAAATATTTTAAAATTTATAGGATATATTTATACATAATTAACGAATATTTACTAAAATTTTCAAATGAAAAAAAGTAATTTTCAGCGAGTTATTCGCTATCTCCTAAGTCACTATAAAAAAAGGGCCTAAACGGCTGCAGTGACTCCGGCCTTTACACTGTGGATGAAATAAAAAAAAAAAATACTGTTAATCTAGAAAGTATTGCTTATACAATGACCTAAAATCGTGAAAAAAAATTAAAATTTAACAAAATGGCAGACTTTTAAATAAAAAAAAATCGAATTTTGCTGAAAATTTGGATGATTTTTGGCCCGCCAAAATTACATTTTTTATACAATCGTAAAACTTTTAGGTGATTGTACAGAGAAACATATAGGAAATAAGCAGAAAAAAAATCGAAGCGATCGGATGATTCTTCTTCGAGTTACAATTGCAGCCAATTTGAAAAATGTAGTTTTGAGAAAAACGCGTTCAAAGATAAAATGATTGCTTTCTAATCCTTTAGAAGGCTGTAACTCTAAAACTATTTGAAATATTTATTTGAAATTTCAGTATGTTATTTTTAAAAATATAAACTATCAAAATATGCAAAAAAAAATCAATTTTTTCAAAATTTCACACTAGGTGTGCCCCTTAACGATCGAAAAGTACAGCGTTAGTTTGAAAAATTTTATATTTAAAAATCCGACATTTGATACGCACCAATCTAATAAATATATATATATTTATTTAAAGATCTGAAAATAATGAAAATAGAGCAAACATTCAACAATCGTCATTCGACGACAATCTACGTATCATAGATATCGTAAGAAACAAGAATTATGGTACCAGACCGAAAATATCTATTAATAATCAAAACTATCCAACTTTTGTTCAAAACGAAGAATCCAAATTACCGATTGAGAAAAATCCGCAAACAGGTAACAACAATTTTGGACAAAAAATATATTTCGACAAAGGAAAGGAACATTCGTTTCATTTTGAAGATTCAGGAATTACAAAAGACAATGTATATCATCCAGTACCATTAATTTATCGTTCATATTATGATAACATTTGGCAAAACAAAAATCTGGACAATTTTCGTATGAAACCTTACGAAATTTTGTCGAGACCCGTAATCAACATTTACGACGAATGCACGAAAAATGTGGCACATGGATTCAATGATAATTATAAAAAGGATTTTTATAATAATGATAAAGACAATAGTATGATTTTTAAAAATGATCAAAGTCATACGAGCACAATTTCACCTTACAATCAATTTAATCAAAATCCTACTCGATGGAAGCCTCTACAAAGTGGAACGTTACAACAATTTCAATTGAATCAAACTCATCCATTTGTTACTAATCCAAATGATGATTTTATCATTGGCTCTAATGACTATAAAAACTTCATTAACGATTATTACAAGAAATTGAAAATCCCAGTTAGCGAAGAAATGAAATGTGAGTAATAATAGTAATGATATTTTTGTTTTAATTACATTTTGACATACAGGGTGGGACATTTAAATAGGAAATCTTGATAGTACGTTTACGTTTAAATTTAAATCGTTCACCTTGTATACGATTTATCTTAACTCTTTTAATTGAATGTAGATATTTATCTAAAATGAAAGATGTGTAAAAGTTATGATAATATTATACAAATTCTCATGTTTCTTTTTCAAACAATTGGAAAGAATAACATAACTTTGCTTTTTTTTCTTTGAGATTCGTGAAATCGGGGAATAAATCATTTCACTTTTATCAAAACGCGTTCACGAGAGAATCTTTGATAGAACAGTTGAGTCAACGGCAATGACATAGATTTGAAATGTTAGGTATGTCAATTAAGTTGATGTTCATTCGTTGTTTTCCGGTGCACACCGTGTCTTATCGTAACGACAATTAACTTTTATTACGTCATGAAAAGTTTACAAACTAATCGTATTTTCGAATCCGTTACTAACGTCATAGAAAAATAAAAGGTATGATAAATAAATAAAAATAAATGGATAGAATAAAGAAATTGAAGAATATTTCGTTCTATTTCTGTGCTCTCACAAAAAATGTATAGAAAATCGTCTTGAAACAAAAAGAAAATGAAGTTTCTTCGAAATAATGAATTGGAAGAGCATTGAAGAAATAAGGGACAATCGAAAGTAAGAGCGTCTGTCTCATGGTGATGGATCACGCTAACCGGAAGTCGAACGTCCTGTAACGTCTCGCCATTTATTTTTCTCCCTTGTGCAACGCACGTGCATTCCTGATTTGCCGTGACACGATTACAAGAGTGAAACAGATGCATCGTCGTCTAAAAATTAATCTGAACTTTCAAGACGACAAAAATATAACCAATGCGGGTGTAATGTTTTATTCGTTTATAATTTTTTTTCGAATTTGAAACACCGGAAATATGATTTTATTAAATTCATATAATGTTCGATAACAAAAGAAGCCTCAACTTGGCTGAAATAATTATTCTAAAGTAAGAACCTTGATAAATCTTCGAGGACATCCCGCGATTCCCGTCCCTTCTAAACTGACGTCATTTCTTTTTAGTCAGAAGAACGAAATGAAAAAAAAAAAAAAATAATCTAAGTAGAGTCATTAATGATCATGTAACACCAAAACCCCTCCATCAATGTGTGCACCGTTCCCTCCCACTATTCTCACGGAAACGTTCACTTTTTCTATAAAACGATGCGAGTTCGTAATTTCTCCGTTACTTTATGTTATTACGATTTTCTGTTCGTGTTATTTTATCGTTTCTTTTTCTTTTTTTTTTTTTCAAAGAAAGCATAAATATTATATATATGTATATATATATATATTTAAAAAAGTACAAGTCTAAACGAAAAATTTGCAAAATGTGTAAATGTATATATATATATGTATAAAAAAATGAATTTATGTGAGAAAGAGTGGCTTTTAATTTTTCCATTAATTTTACTCATACGAAATTCTATGCAAAGTTCTATAATATTAGTAGAGGATGTCGTTGAAAATTGTTCGCGTAAGATTTATTTATTTAATTTATTTATTATATACATATTTATTATACTTATTTTTGATTAATTACTATAGCGTGTTACCGAAGACTATTAAGCGGCAAGAAAACTATGCAAATTCACGTAAGAAGAGCTGTCGAGTGTCAGAGAGTAGAAGAGTGCCATCGAGCATGCGATTATGAAAAATATTTCATTTGCGAAGGCTTCAATTACAGGTAATTAAATATAATCAGAATAATAAATAAATAATTAAATGAAATTTCTAATAAAAAGATTGGTTTGACTTAAGGGGTTACATGGATTTACACTGGGAAAAAATAGCATATTTTCAACAATTTTTTTTTCTATATAAAAAATGGAATTCTTATTCAAACTTTTTATAGCATTTAAGATACATATTTAAAGAACATTTTCTGAAATTTTGGTTGAAAAATATTTTAAACTCAGCCATTGCGACGTCATTTCCGGTGACCCTACCGAAAAAAAGTGTTTTCGCGTTGACAGCAGAACTCATAAACGGTGGGGGCTTTTCTGTTGAAAAAATAGGGTCTTTTAGTGAATACTTAAAACTAGAAACTGGACAAAGGAAAAAGAAAAAAATTGAAATTTAAATTTTTGGCAACGTTTTTAGTAAGAACATTCAAATTTCGGTACAATTTGCACCACATTTTGGTTTTCTAAAATTCGATTTTATGAAAAAAACGAAAATCCTTCGTCCAAGTCCTTGTCAATAGTATCACGAAGACGTGTAGCAAATTTCATCAAAATCAGTTAAATAGTTTTCGAGAAATCTTGGCAACCGACTTTAGAAAAAACGTTTTGAGAAAAACGCGTTTAAAGATTTGAGTGCTGGTATAAGATCCATTAAAGAGTGCAACTTCCCAAGGCTCTATCTTTAAAACTACTACTCCTATCGACTTCAAAATTCACTACAATATTCTAGATGAGATGTAGAATTTACAAAAAAATTTTTTTTGAAAGTCCCAAACCCATGTAACCCCTTAACGCTTAATTAAAAACACGATTATATTATTCATAGAATTGGCATAGTTAGGTGATCTCTCCTGTATATACGCATACGTAAATGTTCGAAATAAAAATGTAGAAAAAATATACATATTCATGACACGAAGTGCATGACCTATTTGATTGCATCATGAAAAATTTGATCGCATCGCAAGCGCACTGTTGACACGCTTCTTGATTCGTAAACAATTGCATACGTTGCTATATATGATCTTCGAAATAGATATTTTCAAACCTTTGTTCAATTTTCGATAACATAATATTATATATCTCTATATATTTGTCGTATACATTAATATACATATATGAACCGTTTATTTTGAAAGTGGCATAAGTCACTTTTTCAAAAAAAATCGAATTAATGGCAACACTAATTACAATTGAACGGTATATTTTCATCAGTTATTTCTCTCGTCCAAAAATAAAATTCTTAATGAGAAGGTATCACAGGGAACTTGGACATAAAAAAGAAGTAGAACTTAATTTAACTAAGTTGGACGTTTCGTCCCTTTATTGACACTTCTTCAACAACTTGAAATTTTATTTTATTGTTATTTCTTATATTACGAAATACATAAGACTCATACATTATATAATTTTTTACATGTTACCTTAATCTTTATAGTTCAGCGTCTTTTTTCATTGAGTAGACATTTTTATTTTTAATATTCAAAACACAAAACATCTAAACTTCGTTAAATTGATCGTTATTATTTAAGTTCCTCAACAAAACTGTTTCAATCTAGACTAGTGTTTATTAGTCTAGATATCTTCAATGTTAATACAGTGTTCTATTTATTATCGTTAAATTTAAAAATTCCGTTATAGATGTGATTTAAATTATTTGTATCCGTTCTAAAATTCGTTATTGTTTGTTATATGATACATTTCGCTGATATTTCTTTTATACCAATTTTCTTCTAAATCTAAAATAGTTGCTGCGTCAAATTTAAAGTTGTGTCCTGTTGTAAAATGATGTTCAGCTAACGCTGTGGTATTGGTTTTATTTACATTTGTAGGTTTACAGTCATTTTTATGCTGATCTAATCTTTTTTTAAGTTTCTGTTTAGTTTGTCCTATATAACACTTTTCACATTCACATGGTATTTTATACACTAAGTGTATAAAACTGGTCAAATTTATCTACCCTGTCTTTTAATTTGGTGTAAATAGAATTTATTTTTGTTAGATTATAAAAAACCAGTTTGATATTAGTGTTTTTAAAACATTTATTTATTTTACTTACTAAAGGTTTAATATATGGAAACTTAATATATTTTTTATCTTGTAGATTTGGATTTTTTACACGATCTTTGTCAATTTTAAACTCATTAAATACCATGYGTATGAGACTCATGGGATAGTTATTATTTTTTAAAAGAGTCTTTATTTTTCTTATAGTTAAATTAAGTTCTACTTCTTTTTTATGTCCAAGTTCCCTGTGATACCTTCTTATTAGGTATCTTTAAATTAAAAAAAAAAAAAAAAGAAAATAAAAAATAGTGACTTATGCCACTTTGAAAATAAACGGCTCATATATTGAAATAATATTTGTATGAATTTGAATAACAGACGATTAGGTCCTGGGTTACGTGGTATGTGCGAGATGACGTCAGTACCTTATTCACGTTTAAACATTAATCGAGATTTCCTATCAGATCCACAATGCGATTATTATGAAAAAGATTCTAATTGTCGTCGAGATATAATAGAATCTTATAATTCTGGATCAAGACCAAATTACGTATCTGATCGAAGACCTCCACCTCCTAGTGAAATTCCACGGCCTATCATCTATGATAATTATGATCAAAGACCGATTTACCAAACAATTCAGTCAGGATTATCAATAAATTTACCTAGACCAATAAATGGTAACAGACCACAGAGTTATGAAGGTTCCTATAAACCACCAAACGTCAATCCATTTTTTCAAAGAACTCATTCTCCCGATGGAAGACCTATCGACAATTTTAGTGGTAATGGTTATTCTTATGGGAGACCATTAGTTTATAAACCTATGTATCATGGTTCTATCGATAGACCTTTTATTCCGAAATATCCTGATAGGAGAGTCGATTATGGTCCTTATGGTGATATAGGTAAGTATTTAACATAATGCAATCATTACGAAAGGTTTAATTACAATTTTTTAGGAACTAACGAAATCGGACCATATTCATCGGATCGTCGGAAAGGTCCAGTTTATGGTGGTGTTTATGGTAGTTCGTACGGATACGATACAAATTACGTCGGCCATTTTGATGTATCCAAATATTATCCAAAAAATCCATCCCAAGGGAAGAAGCCTGATGGTAGACCTCAAGAAAACGATCATTTCTATGGTGAATTTTATAATTACGGTGGTGCATTTGGTTATGGTGATAATTATATACCAGCGGACAGAGATCAATTATATGGTGGAACGAATAAGGAACAACGGTGCACAGTGAGAGCTGGTGCTGGTTTTAAACTTATCAGAGGTGTTATTAGAAAGACATATTTAACACCGAGTTTAGAGGAATGCGAGAGTCTCTGTTTGAATGAGAATCTATTTATTTGTATGACTATGGGCTACAGGTAATACTAATTTTATTATTGCAAATTCTGAAAAAAAAAACATAAAAAACAGTAGTAGTTATTGCCATATTGCCTTTTTACGGATTTGAACAATCTCTTTTTATTATTATTTAGATACAACATCGCTGCTACTGATCCTACGGACAATTGTTTACTCACCGATATCTCTTATAGGGATTTAAATTTTTATACCGACATCGAACCTAATCGCGATTATGATATTTACGCGATAATAGGTAATCCTAGAACTTGCGATATGATGATTCAACGACATAATCGTCATCATCATCATTACCCGCCTGATGGTAAATACAATTTAATACGCGATATAATCAATCAGTCATTATTTATTTTTCAAATGTTCTATTTTGTAGAATGTTTCTGGAGAGTAAGAAGTGGCTTTGGTATGCCAACAGATGTAATTAGGAAATCAACTTCTGTTAATGATCTCGGAGAGTGTCAAGTGGAATGTACGATTTCTCGAGATTTTACATGTCGAAGTTTTGCTTTTAGGTAATACGTAATACTTATATGTTAAATATTTCATTGATAAATCAATTATTTGATAAATATATTACATATTTTGAAATCCTCGAAAGATATGGATTAGGTGGACCCCAAGAACGAATTCCTTCTACAAATTGTTATCTTAGCGATTGGCCAACTCAAGAAATCAATCCAACCAACATGCCAGATATGGATGGAGCTGAATTATACGAACGAGGTAGTTTTGGACGAGGTTGCGAGCCTTATCCATTTCCACCAATTCAAATTGGAGGACAGAACAAGTTTCCACGTGGAGAAGATGGTTCGAATCTTACTATTTTCCATTATTTTATTTTTCAAAAGACATTTAATACATTTTGTATTTACAGTATGCTATTCCGGTTACAACAAACCATGTAGACTTACGCCATATTCAGTAATGCTAGCGGTAAACGTTGATTCCGAGTCTGAATGTCGTGACAAATGTTCCAAAATGAGACAGAAAGATCCTACACCGTGCATGTCCTTTAGTTATAAGTAATTACTTTAATCTTGAAATTATTTCTAACAAATATTATTAGGATATATCTTATTGCAAACTGAAATTTTTAGGATTCGAGCTGACAGAGGTGATCAAAATTGTCTTTTAAGCGACGTATCGATAAGGGATTTAAGACCAGGATTGGATTATGCTTACGACGACAATCACGTTCTTTACGCTTGGAAGGATCTTGAACCCCAATGTATGATCACAGGATATTCCATAGATGATAATCATGTTTTCGGTAGTCCAGGTCTTGGCTATGGAAGACCTCTTCCCCAACCACCACCACTACAACCAGCTAGACCCGATTTAGGTCCTGGATCTGATCAATCTGATGGGATTTATATTCCTGATCCTAGACCAATTTATGGGCATGAAATATCTAGGCCTTTTAACAATAATTTTGATCATGGATCAAGACCGTACGATCCTGATAGACCCGATCCTCCTGTTAGACCACCACATGATCGTCCTTATGGTGGTCAGGGAGATTACGGAGATAATCATGGATACATGGATTATAATCATTTTCATGGATCTTATGGACAAGATGATATCATTCCACCATGTAAATATATTTTGTTTCATTTCATTTATTACAGGGTGATTAATTTTAATTTAAATATCACCATGTTATTTATGGTCTCATGAAAAAAGTTCTTAGAACAGAGTTAAACTATTTGAAGAGAGCTGAAATACTTGTTCATTTTTGTTCAGCTCCTGATTTTGCAACCTTCCAACATTACACCGTAAACGGTTACCCATGTAAACAGGGTACCAAATGTGAGAAGAACGATGTAGCTGGTTTTTGGTCATGTGAAACGGAAGGAGGAGAACCTGGTAGTTGGGATTATTGTTGCGAACCTAGCCATCGTTGTGGTTACTCTCAAGGATTTCATTATCCATGGTAATTTGGATAAACTCTATCTTATTACGTTTTATGTGTTAAACAATTCCTAATAATGATTGAATACAACAGGTGTTACGTGGGTTTGTCCAACGATCAATGGAGACCATGTAGCGAGAAATATTATCCTTATTTACCAAGTTCACGACCGATTCAACACGATATCTATGGTGGTTATCATCATGGTGGTGGCTATCATAATAATGATAACGGTGACCGAAACAATGTAAATTATTATGCAAGACATTGGCCTGTAACTTATCTTCACAGAGAACCACCACCAAATTGTACAGACTCCTTGGCATCTGCAAATGACAGCAAAAATCGTTTATTAAACGACTCGTCGATCGTTATATCGCAAAATAACGATCCACAAAATAATGGCCGCACTGCGAGATTTAGAAATCGTGTATTTAGACGACGTCTGGTATCTCGTACCACGAATATTGCAAAGAATCGTTACGATAATGAAAAAGAACATGATGGTCAAATATTCTTCCCAGAAAAACTTGATAAACAAATCAACGAAGATGATTCTAAATTTACGGGAAGCACTGAAACAATTTTAAAACTTAATTCGAATTTCGCGCATTTTAATTCAACGGCGATTGAAGCGCCATTTATTACGAAACAACATAATCGTAATCATTCGGAACGGTCGGTAAAGATGATCACACCTTTGACTCCGTCGGTAACGACGAACAGTGATCAATTTAAAAAATTTATTAATAATTTCACTTCAACATTTTCTAATGATTCTAACGTTTCAGAAATGACTAATGGTTTTATTATTAAAGTAAACTAAACATTTTTTATTTGTATATACATATATACAATATACATATATAGATATTTTTTTATTTTATTTTTAGTACTTGCTTTAATTCACATAAAAATTATAACGCTAAATTTATGTGCGTTAAGAATGATTCTCCATGTAATGTTGATTTACTAATAAAAACTATATGAACACTTGTATAAACGTGCGTTAAAATTACGTAGGATTTAAAAATAAAACAGACGAAAAGAAAAAGAAATGAAAATGTAGGTATGTTATATATTTATCTCTCTTATTTTTAATAATAATAATAATAATAATTTCTGATGTACCACAATCCTGTGTAATTTGTATTTTTTAAATTTATATGTAAGTATACATGAATATACCATATATATACATTTTGCTTGAGATACATAATATATATATAAACTTTGAAACTAAAATATCTTTATTTTAATTTAAATATCAATAAAAAAAGGCGGCAAAATATATCAAATATTTCATATCTTTGATTCAAAATGATTCCTTGTTTTTCTTTTTCTTTTTAAACTTTCGCGCGATCGTAATTAATATTACTGGACAATTTATATAAACGAAATTTATTAAGATCAATAATTTTCTAGGAATAATTAATGCAGAATAATAATTTGTTAAAAAGATAGAAAAAAAACAAAAAGATAGAGATATTTTGTTGCCCAGTAGTCTGAAATAAAAAAAAAAAATGAAGTACCCATGTGCCCGCCATCTTAGTCAACAGTAATGAAAAGCTTTAACACTCCAAAAATTGCTGCATTAGTTTATTGCAGTTATCAATGGAATTTAAATTACTACAATCTGTAAGAATTATTCAAATTTAATTCTATTTTAAAAAAAGAGAGACAAAATAAATGAGTACAAAAATATATATAAAAATATAAAGCTAAACGAATTGTGAAACAACCTAAAAGTGCTATAAGGACGAGCATATAAACAACCTTTTTTTATTTCTTAATTGTATAATTATGGATCTTTATGGTGTAACAGACGCTAGAAGGACCACTTCTTTTTGAGAAAGACAGTAACATTTTCGCAATATCCTGGAGAGGAATTCAAACCTTAATGGTTTTTAAAACTCCATGGGATTTATGTTGACGTTTGAAAGAGAGACAGATTGTAAGTATATTTTATATTTATATTACACTTATATATTTATATTTACATATATATTTATATAGTGGTATGATTTTATTTATTTAAAGAATATGCCATATTTTTTTCATTCTTATATACCAAACTGTTGCTATGTATTACATTAACTCTTCTTACCATCAAATATTTTCATGAGATTAAAATTAATCAAGGATAGTATAACTACTACAAGATGCCAAAATCACGTACTGTTTCACAATCGGTCACAAGCAATAGACCGCTTCATATGACTTTGAATTTGGAATGCATCGAGGAACCACTAAGTGAATCACAATTAAAACAAAGAGAAAAGCTGCAAGAAGATTGCAATAAGGTAACCTCTCTTTATACGTATAACTTGATAGATGATTTTGTAAAAATTGATCTAATTAATCTAATAAGTTATATGTTTTTAAGGTTGCAACTACTTTGGAGCAATTAGTTATAGATCACGGAGGGAAAATAGTATGTCAGTCTGGATCTGTAAATGGATATCAATATACAATGTAAGTATTCAATATATCAATTGTTTATTTTTACATTATCATTTTATTTTCATTCATATATTTCAATTTATTAGTCCTTCTAATACGTCACAACAAATCGTGAAGAATCCGCAGTCATTAATAAATGTAGTAAGTACGATATAATATTAATGTTTAATTAAACATAATCTATGAAGATGTGTATATATATCTATAGATATATTACAGAATCAGAATGCAAGTCAACAAATAAAACTTAATATGGTAAATAATACTAATGGAGCCCAAGGAAATATACAACTTGTTGTTGATCCACGAGTAGGAGTTATTCTTGGGCAAGTTACTCAACAACAAGGTAAAATTTGGTTATTGTAAGAAGCATGATTCATTTATAATCAACCTAAAAAGTTTTGTTATAGGCAATACGACGACAACAACAGCTATACCAACTTCTGTGTCTGCGCAATCTCAATCAGAAAGTGTAAGACAATTTAAATAATCATTTATATTATAATGCATAAAAACCGAGATTTTTGGGAGAACTAATATTTTTGTATATATCATTTTTATAGTATAAATATACTAGATCCGGACGTCGAACAAAAGTTTTACAAATACAGCCACCACAACTTGATATTATAGAGGAGGTATGTTGTTAAAATATATATATATATTCGTATATGTTAATGAAAGATTTAATATTCGGGTTTATTCTTATACATTAATATTTCTAACATACAATTTTTTTCGGTCTTTTATGGTATTCATGCATTACTTTTTCATTAAAGCCTCCTGCAGTTCCTCCTGCAATTCCTCCTGCAGTTCCTCCTACAGTTCCTCCTGCAGTTCCTCCTGCAATCCCTCCTGCAATCCCTCCTGCAGTTCCTCCTGCAGTCCCTCCTGCAGTCCCTCCTGCAGTTCCTCCTGCAGTCCCTCCTGCAATTTCTCGTGGACGACAAAAAGTTGGCACTACGACACATGTTGTAACTTCAAGTAAGTAACTTCAAACGAAGAAATATAAGAGAATTTATAAAACAAACTTTCTTCTTCTTAATATATTTCTAAAATCAATATAATTGTCACAGCTACTACTACTCCACAAGGTGTTACAAATCTCAGAATAAAAACTGTTAACAAATCACAAGGAAATCAAACAACATTAATTTCCAAACCTACCGAACAGACTAGTATAGGTGGTATATCAGTTGGAATAAAAAATATAGGTACTAATATAAAAATATATTGATAATTAATTATTTATATTTATTATAGAACTCGAAATGAACAATACATTTACCATGAAATATGTTACAGCTTGTGAACAAATCGATGAAACAAAAAAGAATCTTCCCGATGGTAAAGAATTTACTTTTAATAAAATGACTGGTGGTAGAACTTTTCCTTCATTGGTAGTTGTGGCAAGACCTAATCTTCGCACAAAAGAAATCATACCACAGTTTGCATTAAAGGAGAGATCAGAGCTAGGTATCTATTAAATAAAATGTATATTTCATGCATGAGATTTAATATTGAATGTAAATTTTTACAGATATCAAAGTAAAAAGTGTACTTATGTATTCTGCTACAAAATTCGCCGAGTGGTTAATTCAACAAGGTCTAGTTCGTTCCGAACAACATTGTATATTACATAGTAAAAATTATCAAAAAGAAAAACTTAAATTAGGAATGTATAGCGATCAAGGTAGATTCCCATATTCTGGAGGATATGTGTGGATTTCTACTTGTTGTCCGGATCGCTTTGTTTCTATCTTTTCTGGTTCTATTTTCCAAGGAGCACCATACACTCCTACAGTTCTTTTAAAACTTATTTATCATTGGGCGTGTCAAACCAATGTGCAAAATGTAGTTTCTTGGGTAAAAGTTTCGAATATATATGTAAAAAATTTTTATACAAATTTACGTAGTGTATGCACAGCTGCAATATGGGATAAAAGTAGAATAATGGGTGGAAATAATTCTATGATACAAGTAGGTGTTATCAGTTTGGGTACTACTTCGCAAGATGGAAATTTACGTCAGGTAAAATACATTTGTTTATTTTTTTATAAATCAATCAACATATGTAAATTCTTATACTTGCATATGAATATTTTTTTTAGGTGAAAGTTGAAGTTCTTGGTGTTTTGGATATGAAAACGTTAGAATTAAGATTGCGTGCTTGTGATCCGGTACAAGATGGAGAAAGATCATATAAGAAAAGATTTAATAATATTCTTCATCCATTAAAAGACTGGGTACACATAGATTCTAAAATTATGACTGACTTTACGGTTGACAAGAGTACTTTACAAGAACTTGGTTTTGCCAATGTAACGCAATCAGCGTTTTCTGATCAAAATCCTAGAAATTTCATGAGCAATTATCACATAATGGAATATTTAAGAAAAATAGTTCCAAGAATGTTTCAAAATACATTGAGTTTACTAAGTAGACAAATGATACAACAATTTTTGGATGAACTTGTTTGGAGAGAAATATACGGTGCTACTGCAGCACGCGCATTTGACAATATTATACTTCATATATCTGACCAAACCAAGATAGACTCTAGTAAATATTACATACTTATTAGCGTAAACGTTATATTTAAGATAATACATAATTATATATTTCATTATATTTTTCAGGCGATTGCATGCTAGAACGTCTTGCAAAAATTGCAGCTAATCCGTTTCAAGACTGGTCTTATTCAAAAACTAATCCTCCTCCTCTTTCTCCATTAAGTTCACTGACAGTAACTAAGGATCAACCACAGACAAATCCTGAAAGAATAGTTCACAATATTAAACAATCGGAATCTACCTTAATAAAGCCTGGTCCAAAAAGAGGAAGGAAAAGAATGTTACCTACACCGCCTAGTCCAGATATAGAAGCAAAGAAAAATACTTCTGATGCGAAAATTATTAAGGAAAAAGAAAGAGAAAATAAAACAGACCAAATACAACTTCAAAAATGTTATTATGCTACTATGGAAGGTGATCAAAATGTGTTGTTAAAAGAGAATAAGTCTTTGTTATATTTTAAGGTACAATTTATTTATTTATATCAATACATTGACTGTCATGTAAATTTTATATATTTTGCCGTAGAAGCCACGATTCTAAAATAAAATACAGGTAATCTTGCTACAACACGGTTTCGCTAAAACACATGATTTTGTTTAACATATTTAAAAATCAAATTATTTTCAAATAATAACGAGAAAGAATAATGAACTCTGGGTCTCATATGGCACAGTTTTACTCAATACGCCATTTTCTAGGAATCTATCTACCGTGTTATAAGAGAGTTACCTGTATAAAACACTATAGTAATGTAGGTAATGTAATGAAACAGATTGGCGGAATAAACGCCAGTTACTGGTGATCAACGTGACAATCAATTTATTGACAAGATATATCATATTAAAAGATATTTGATGAATATATTATAACTACATTGTAATATATAAAATTTAGTGTTTTCTCTGCACTGCTGTAATGCGGTATAACACTGAAATAATGGAGCATATAATCAGTCATGTGCCACCCCAAGTACCAGATCAATTAGAATTTCCTGTATGCCGCTATTGCTGTACAACTTTTTCTTCCAAACATCAAGTAGTCACTCATGTTTCTGAAGCTCATAGTAAATTTGGTAAATCTGCTGGTGATATGGTTGTATGTGCTATATGCGAACAAAAATTTGGTGAGTTTATTATATAACGATATTTAATTTTCACCAATGAGATAGACATCAAATTTATACAAAATTATTCCTTTCGTTAACATTTTCAGGTAATAGCAATTTATTGATTAATCATTTATCAATGATGCATTGTCCTTCAGAAATGCCATATCAATGCAATACATGTGGTTATCGAACATCTAGTCACAAAGATATTATAGATCATTATTATGAAATTCATGAAAAGGGTAATGGTTTGCAGTGTCCATTCTGTCTAAAGGTAAATGCAACAAATAAATTTTAATTTATCCGATACAGATACCCCTATAGCAATAAAAAATTATCAAGTAAAATCTATTTAATAGGTAATAGAATTTATTGTCGATGGACAAACGAATGCATCCAGTATACACTCATTCTTACTTCATATGCAAAGACACATTGTAAGGAGAGAACAAGGACGTGGAAATAAATGTCCAAGATGTTGTTTATGGTTTAATCAGAAAAGTTCATTGAAAATTCATCAAAGAGAATTACACGATTCTGTTATCAATTCAAGTAAGTCTATTATATATATATTCTTTTTGTTTTTTTTTTCTCGTACGTTAATGTATGTTGATTATTGAAAAACGATTTGTAGAAGTTGTACCATTTTCAACAACTGAAAATGAAATAGTGATACTGAAACAACGACCTATGATAAGAAGATTTGATGTAGAAAGTCCAGTTGCTGAATTACCAAGAGACGAATGTGTCAAAAAATGGAGTACAGGACCAATTTCAGTTAATGCTTCTAATAGTCACTTACCATGTCAAGAATGTGAAGAAGATATCGATGAACAGGATCATTATCCGTAAGAATATGTCCTTTTTTTTTTGTTGAGAACATAATTTTATCTTCTAATGAAAACAAGTTTGTCTTAATTATTTATATGTATGTATTTTAACACGAATGATTTTGAATTTTTGTAATTAGCGGAGAACAACGATGTCAACAATGTCGTTATGTAACATGTTGTTGGCGTGCATTTAAAGAACATTTACAACAAATTCATAATGAAAGACCTATGACTAGTTTAATCGTTCCTTCTCCGCTTATAAATATCCCATTGGAAAAGAAAATGCAGTGTCGATGTGGGTATACTACAAACGATGGGAATCAATTGGGTAAATAAAAAAGATTATTTTATAATGTAAAATTAAAACATTATTGTATCATAATTTGGTATGATTATATTATAGCCATACATTTAATTAAATGTAATGAAATGACGGCTTATCCGATTGAAGAATCAGCACCAACGGGTATGCTTGATAGTCTAGGTCTTGTTCCAAAAAACGTATCCGATTCTTTAAGTATTAAATAAATTGTAAGTACATAAAGATATCTCAATCTTTGAACTATAACAATAATATTTGGAATTATATCAACTTTCTACAAAAGTTTATATATATTTCGTTATATTTAATTAAATTAATTATTTATATTTATACTCTGATTAATTACAGGTAATTAATATTTGAAAAGAAAGGAGAAGTGGGGAAGAGAGGGAGAAATACAAAAAAAAAAATTAAGAAAAAAATGAGAGAATGAAAGAATATTATTGTGATTGTATAAAGTACGAAAGAGAGATACAAATTCGTGTTAATCATTCTGATATACATGTTTTAAGAACTATTATGTATAAATGATTATTAATTTTTGTTAAATGAAAGTATATATACCAAAATATTCGATTTTCAAATAAAAATAACAATTTTTTCTTAATTATTAATCATACGCAACAATTCCAAAACTTAACAAATATTTGAATCTACCCATATTAGAAATACATTAATGACAGTAGTATATAAACATATTATCGATATATAGTATGCAGAAATATAACATTTGAGTGTGTAGAACAATATAGATTACAATACAGTCAAATATATTAATAAGAAAAAGAAAAAACCAACTGAAAATCAGAAATAAGTATTGTTATAAATATTCTGTTCTTTCTTTACGTAAATAATATTGTTTTTATATATTTCTATAATATAAAAATTAAATATCAATATATGCAACAAAGCAGAATACTGATTTATTTTAATAATCTACATTCATAACTGTTTATAATTAACATAATTTAGTACAATTCTATACATTTTTAAATCATAAGATAAAACAAAATCAAAAATTCCTTCCAACAGTGATCACCTATCCCTTAGATTTTTTCTTTTTTTTAAAACTAAATTTATAAGATGTAAATAAGAATAATATTTTTGTCGATTGAAATAACAACGACGTATAATGTGTTTTATTCAATTTTTATTTAGCAATTGTTTTCATGTATGAATAATAAATGTAGCATACATATACTTTTTAGATGGTCAAGTGTGTGTATGAATATATATAATACTAACTGACGGAACAAAACATATATAGAATTGTTTTTCCAAATTAAAATCGTTAGGTAGATTCTCTTGATTATTTAAATGAATTGAACACATAATAGTCCGTCATTCGTTACTTACCTTTTCTCTCTCTTTTTTCTTTTTCCCTCTCTCTTTCTCTCTCTCTCTCTCTCTCCCTCTCTCTCTCTATATATATAGAGATTCTATAAAGAATTCTATATATATATATAGAGAGAGAGAAAGAGAGAGTTATATATATATATATATATATATAATATATTTCTACTAAGCTATGAACATTTTTTATGATTTTTTTTAAATATTTTACATTTTTTTTTTATTTTTTCTCTCATTTTCATCTTTGTCTTATTATCAAGTCAACACTAAAGAACACATTTATTAGCAAGAACTCTCCAAAGTTAATCGATTGGGAATTACCACAGAAAAGATATCTAATATATAATGATATTACTTATATTCTAAAATATGATTAAAAATTAATAAAACTTGAAAAATATATATATATATAGATTATCTAGATATAATAAAGTGATTATAAATTATAATAACAACGAAGTCGCAGTACCTCCTTCTCTATAATAATTAAAACAATATTTGAATTATCGAATTTTAACGTTAATCGTTCTATATATATGCATGTAGAAATCTTGAATTTAATTATAAGTACTGTCATAAAAAAAAAAAGTATAAATACTCACTATAATACTCTAGATATTTCAATGCATGGCAATAAAAGTTTACACTGCAGCTAAATTGGTATAATTTTTTTTCGGAAACTCTTTCAAAAGAAAGTTATAGAGAAATAAAAGTTATGAAACAGCTATAGGAAATGTACATATATCAAATTTGATTAGAGCCTGCACAACATATATTAAATCTATATATATAATAAAGGTATTACTATCAATAATACTTAGAAATGATGATAATATNATAATAGTAATAATAATAGTAATAATAATAATAATAATAATAATAATAATAATAATAATAATAAGTATGAGAAAGTTAATATCTTATAAGTAAAAAAATACAGTTAGACCCAATCTGCCACGATTAACATATAGAGATTTATCGATAATAAATTTCTTCTAAAATTTGATGATTTTTGTTACAATTTAATAAATTAATTTGTAACATTCAACCATCAATTTTTTTCAGAATACGTGGGAGAGCTTTGTCAGCAATTTATATGATCTTACGAGAGTTATTAACATTGTGTTCAAGAGAATGAATTGATACATTCATCAAAAGCCTGTTACGTACGTAACTCTACATATACGAGACTATAATTTCTCTCCGTACTCCTAAGTACCTCTTAAATTTAACGCTAAGGTGATTTCTAATAGATATTATCTTAGTTTTTTTTTTTTTTTTTAAATCAAATTTCAATATGCCAAATTATTGCTTATCGGTCAATTTCACTATATAATAAAAGAAATGAAAATTAATACTGAAGAGCATTCACAAGATGTAAAGTGCATCTTGTGGTGCATAAATAAAGCAAACCAAAAATAATGGAAAAAAAAGTCAAATAAAATCTAATTTCTTACTTTCCATTTTGTTGAATTCTATCATAAACTTCGTTATAACAGAGTACCTGTAACGATAAAATAAAAAATAATTAATAAATTATTAAAATAAAGGCAATTAATTAAAATAATAAACATATGTGTATTGACTAATGAAAATGAAATAGTGGACAAGACATTCTCTATAATACAAATAATTCATAAAATTAAAGTACATTCTATGTAATATATACCAGGTGTAGAAGTATGAAACCGGATATATATATGTTTAAGAAAATAAACTCAAAATAATACCTGCGCGTTAAATTTGAGAGGATTCTAGCTGCTTGCCGATTACTCGATGGCATAGAGCATGTAGAGATTACCAGGGTCACTGATTTGTGGTACCAAGGCATGATTTGGTGGTAGTACCGTGAAGCCCAAAAACATGAAGGTACGAACCAGCATAGCTAGACCATAACAACAAATAGGTTTAGACGGAAAATTTTTGTCAATGCAGAATGCTTCTACAGTTTCAAAGAAAGGAATTCGACAACTACCTCGATCTGATTTGTCTTTTCGGAGACAAACAATGATATTAGTAAAATGTAATGTTTCTTCGGCATATTCCAAAAGGGAAACAAATCCCTCCTTGGAACCCTCTGGTAGAAGGCAGCTTGGTACGCGAATGTAAAGACAGTTGCGCCATACTACAGTTTCCCACTCAACAGAGGTACTCTCTGTTAAGTGCAGCTTAAAGGTCAGGCGTACTGATTCACAATTTTTTACGGCTTTTAACAATTCATCCTCCTACAAAATATCATTAATATATTTATTAATGTAAACTATTAAAAGATATTAAATGATTGTTTTTATTTAATAGACATACTTGCACAATGTGGGAGCTCACAGAGAGCTGACTCTGCTTGATCCCCACGCCGCGGCTCTCTGTGTTGACTGTAGATACAGACAATGCGGCATGGGGCACATCAGGACCACCACAGAGGCCCCACACCCAGCGTTATACAGTAATGCTGGAGTGTCCTGGAACCGTCCTCCAGACTATCGTCCATACATTTACTTGACATTTCACTAGAAAAATCAGAAAACATTTTTATATATATGTATATACTTATAAATTTATCTGTTACAGACTATTACATTGAGCCAAGATCTACTTTTACGCACAAACTTTATATTCCTAATATACGTGGATATATTATAAAAGAAATGTTTACCATGATTTTGGAACCACTTCCAATGGCTTGGGTACCATTTTCAAAAATATATATATATATATAATTGAATTTACTAAGAAATAATAAAAAATGAAATTTATTAAACGCGATAAACGCGGAGTTTGCTATTAAAAATTCTTAGAATATTCCGAGGCGTTAAAAAGTTAGCTGTTTTAAAGACCAGAAAAACCGTGGTAAAATCAAACAGCGATATCGTGAATTGATTTCACCTCTTATAAGAGAACGGACATAAGGATAACTGGTAAATGACAAATAGATCGGTGAACATTCTCCATTTATAAAGATTCCGCGTAAATATACATACATATATACGTGAATAAAAGAACATTGTATGTGTGTGTGTATCGTGTCGTTGCTTTAAATTCAAACGTCATTAAAAACAGGCATCGAGCCAGCCAAACGCATAACCGTGTAAATACCTATACATATCTATTTATGTGTTGCATGTATGCATGCGTCCTATGTGCCGAGTCTAACTAAAGCTAAAGAAAATAAATGTACGAAGATGACGTTGTTTTCTTCTTCTCTATTACGAATTCAGCCAAAATTCTTTTAGCAATCCCCAGACAAAATGCTAAAAACAGTATTCCTAATTGAAACTGCTACGTTGTGTAATTCCGCATTTATCTATTATGTTATTTGTCTACGTCCTTCTCTCTTTTTATCTATGCCAAACAAAACTAGATACACATACACATAGTTAACTGATTAATTGATAATCAAAAAATACAAATAAAAAAGCAAGTATAACAATTATCAATAAAGGATGATAAAACGTTATCTGTCGCGACGACTTAATATATAAATAAAAAAATATCTGTATATAAAATGCAAACAAAGTGACCGTAAATTTAGACTCATACACATATGTATATATAACGTATACAATTGTGCTATATTAAAAAACGATTATATCGTGTTTTATTTCTGAAAATAATGATAAAATTGACGAGAGAAAAGTCATCGATAGATAAAGGCACCAAAAAATAAAAGAAAACAAAACAAAACAAGAAAAATGAATTATTATGCAAGATAACGAAAGAGGAAATTGATTTTATCGACTGACTGAAGTACGAACATTTGAAATAAAAATGAAAACAAAATCGTATTAACAAACGGAAAAGAGGAGAACTGTTATCAAAATATTTAAGTATACCTATGTGAATATTAATGCACGTAAATAATTGTATAAATATTCAGGTATAATTTTTGAGTAAGAATGGGGTTTATAACGAGCATCTAATTGTCGACTGCGAACAAGTCACGCGATAATAAAAGTGAATCAGCTTAAATTGTCAACTCGACTGTTGTAATATTCCACGTATCTTTAGTACACAGAAGCGTATACGTCGTATCTTTATTGCGATAAGCCATAAGCGATCATTTGTCTTGCAATCGAATGATGCAAGATAAAGATAACGACGCAAGTAGTTGTCCTTATGTCTCTTCACGTGCTTATATATTCACACATACATACGTATATATTTATGAATTCATATTTTAAATATGTTCCCCGAACTAAACAACCCTTTAATGTCTTTGATCAAATAAATTCAACTAGCTGAATGAACGAAGACAATAGGGATTATATAAGAACTGTTTATTATGAGAACTAACATCTCCCTTCCTCTTTGTCTTTCTCTTTTTAATCATTGGTAATCTCGTTATTCTTAGAAAATATTTATTGCATCTTCTCTAATATCGACCGAGTTCCACAAGAACACAAGTTTTATACGATATTGTATCTGATCAATAAATCGATTTTCTCAATATTATATTCTAAATAATCGGAATAGATTTTGTAAGTATAGAAAATATTAACCCAACGTCATCTTGCTTTCTTTTTTTTTGTCATTAAATCGCTTTTTTCTTTAAATATATATATATATGCGTGTAAAAATGATTATTATAAAAAAATATGAAGTTATTCCATAAATATATAGATCTAATTTATTTTTATAATTGAAAATTAAATATAACCGTTGGATCGGATATGGCGCGTTAAACGTGTATTTTAAGTTTATATATAAATTGATATTTTCTTTTTAAATTTAAACATCGTACAGATGACATTAGGAATATTATCTTATACAAAATGTATTTCTAATAATTGTTAATTAAATAGATTCATATCTATATGAATATATAAAGTGAGTTTAAAAGAGAGGAGATGTATCATATCGTGAAATAGCTTAGAATGATATCGAATAATATAAATTTGTCCTCATCAAGTTAAATAGAAAAAGAATATGAGAATGTACGTGAGCAGAGACACGTATGCTCAATGCTGATAGATATTGTGTTAAAAAGAAAAAATGAAATTGCCGCTGCACCTAACGGAATATTCATACATCAGATCCAAAACCGGTTTACCATCTGCAGGCAAACATTTTTCTTTCAATTGAAACTTCAACAAACTAATATTACTAACATTTTGTTATCAACAAATTATTTATACTATTAATCGAGATAAAACATTTCTCTGAAAAATGGTATATACATATATATGTGTGTATGTATGAAGTAAGGTATGCATGCATAATTTATTAATTTTTTTTAATGAGTTTTATGTATATGTATAATAAAAATCATATAATTTTAATAAATAATATACATATGCAGATATAATTTTTTTAAATATAATATAAAAAAATATATATAACAAATCATATAAAAGAAATCCCTTATTTTACTTCATCATAATTAGGTATAACTCAATTAATTTCTTTGTTTTACAGCGCATACACATACACACACAGCGCATACATTTTTTATCTTGGATCATGTATAGTATAAGAATATTAAATGTTACTAAATCCGGAAGTTCGTCACAACAATTAACAGATTAGCACGTATAACACACGTACACAAAAACACATACATATATAACATGTATATTGTAATTATTATTATTATTATTATCGATTTTCATATGGTATAATATTCATAAATAAGATTATATCATATCGAATTCCCATAAATCGTAGCTTTCTTTGAACTACATTCTCATACGAATGCGCATTACATTACACACAAACAAATACATATACACACACGCGCGTGTGATAATGTTCGATATATTAAACGATCGACATTTATATATAATAGTACTTAAAATTGTTCTCTTCTTTTTTAGACTTTATATCCTTATCGTTCATGGATTTTAAATTAAGTGTTCGATATCATTAAATTGATGAAATTTATAGGATAATATGGCGTCGACAATTTTATAAGGGTTTATTTGTATTAGAAAGTTGCACGACAAATTAAAAACATGACTACTCTTCTCTCTCTTTTCCTCTCTATAGTTAAAACAATTTTAAAGGTCGTAACCTATGATAAGAATAATTATCAGCAAGTATTCAATAAAATTTAATTAGATTCATTGTTGTATTGTATCAGAAATGATTACGTGATTATTTCAGATTTCGTTGATAATTAAAAAAAAAAAAAAAAAAAAAAAAAAAAAAAAAAGAAATCACGCCTTAGGTAATAGAAAATATATATATATTTAACGTAATATTATCCTATAAAAATTGTATTTTTTTTTATTTTTATTTTTATTTTTATGGGGGTTTTGTTTTTTTTTTTTTAACGTGGGTGCTAATTATATGATCAAGTTCACATTCGATCGTAAGTGCAGCACACAAAAAGAAAAAGTTTTGCGACCTTTGTAAAAAAGAAAAAAAGAAAGAATTAAAACGGTGGAACGTGGAACGATGCATATAAGAAAAAGAAAAAAATAGAAATCGTGATGTGTAAGATATATAAGATGGCGTCGGACACGAAAGCATAAAAGAAAAATGGCGCAATGGTAACGCGCTGAACTAGGCTTACTTCTTTTATCTATGATACTTACCAATTACTTGAAATTAAACTCGGCATTATTACACCTTTTTTACTACTTTTACAATGACTTAATAATAGACTGGAACTAATATTCATACTTCTTTCTTCGTATAATTTTGACGGTTTTTTAATCTACTTCACACGAGGAAATGTCCGCTTATTCAGCGACGCCAAGTAGAGTATTCCTATAACTGGCACAAGTTTTTCACTCTTCTCTGAGGAGCAGAACATCCGCTCGAACGTCCGAAACGTTACTAGAACAACTGGCGTTCTCGACGCTGTTCCATATTGTAATGTTGCGTCGCGTTATCGGCCTTGGCGTCTATGACGTCACTTATGCCTCAGCAAATGAAAATTCTGGAAAATATTTCCCCAAAGGCGCTTGCGTCCTACGTTTTTACTCGAAAGTATATACATATACTTTCCAGTATAGTAACTTTTTCAATACATGTATTTTTCTTTATTACAATCAAATTTAATGTGATTTTAATAGATTCCACTATAATTAATCTATTAATCATTGATATTATTTCAAAATGCACACACATTAAATTAATTATAGAGTAAATTTATTTATTTATATATTTTAACGTACAGCGTTCTTTTTGTATTGTTTTTTCCCTTTTTTTCTTTTTTATATAGCTTTTTAAAAAAAATAAAAATTACATTAAAGATATTAATAAATAAATAATACAATGATATAATTTTATTTTTTTATCTCCATTTCTTGTTCTATTGTAACTATATAATGGCGTATTGGATTTTTATAGCAAGCTAATAAATGCAAGTTCAAAAATTTTATTCATTTAGTTTGCGTTAATCCAGGGCTCAGAGAGTCGGAGGAATTATCTCATGATAAACTTAATATAATTTATTTTTTTTCTTTTTATGAAATTGTGAAGAAAATTTCAAATGCATATAATGCGTTTGTTTACACAATCTACAGTTAGTTCATATTCCTCTCAATACAGATATCACTAAATGCTCGTTAAATTGGAGTGTAGGTCAAGGCACGATGCGCTAGATCTTCATTTATCTCTACCATTTAGTTAACTAATGTTTAATCTTATACAAAATGGTTAGTTCTCTCCCCGTGATATATATAACAAAATAGGTGATACACGTAGGTTGCATTGGTTTCCTTTAAAGAGAAATTCTTTTATATGCATAATGCTATGATATGAAGGTTTCCAGAAGTAAAAGTTTAGAGAGTAGACTCAAGAGTAGACTATCAAAAATGAAATGTCAAATAACATCACGTACAAAATTAAGTAACTATTTATCCGCACATAACTTGACGGACAAAGTCTTCATAATTAATGTTACCCTGCGAGTCCTCGTGGCCAGCTAGTAACGTTTCGACTTCTTCGTCACTTAGTTTTTCACCTGCAGGGTAAGATGTAGATACCTGTTACATCCGCTTTTTTGTAAAAAGCTGACGATAATTACTATGAATATCAGAATTTGTAAGTAATTTTGTTAATTACCCAGCGTTGTTAGAAGATGTCTCAATTCGGCAGACGATATATAACCATTTCCATCTTTATCAAAATGACGTAGTCCTTCAATAAAATCATCGGCTGTGTCAGATGTACGGGATTTACTGATTGCTTGATAAATTGGTAAGAATACTTCGAAGCTAATTCGTTCATCTGGTTTATGCTGATGAGTAAATTTCTTAACATCCGATTCTGTAGGATTTTGTCCAAGGGCACGTAACGCATCTCCAATTTGAGCTACATGAATTTTTCCATCTCCACGGCTATCAAAGAGCTGAAATGCTTCCTGAAACTCTAAAATAAGTCGATGCACTCTTATTACTTCTGTAAGATTAAAAAGACTATTGTGTCCTAACAATATATGAATTATCATATAAACAATAGAAAAAAATGTTGAAAGTATATGATACTTTTGAATATTATAAAAAAACAAATTACCCTCCATGGATGACATCATCCTATTAGTCAACTCCTGATAACTGTAGCCATACATCTTGACTATTTTACTAAACTTAACGTATTGTCAAACTCACAATTAACTAATAAGAAGGTTCAACTACATCTAATACTCTTCTATCTGTTATTACTCAATAAACTGAAACCTTAATCATTTTACAAAAAGAATGTTACCAAAATAAAAAGAAAGGAAATAAAAGAAATCAGTTTTTGAAATGATCTTAAAATAGAGTATTTGATTATTGTATGAACTTTAAATTTTAAAAAGAAGAAGAGTTAACTAACTTAACACCAGAAGAGAATAGAATACGTTCGAACTTGATTAAATCCGCGAAGAAAATGAGAAAAGTTAGTAGGAATGATTTAACCAGAATCTGATCTTTAAAAGCAAGTCTTACAGCCTCTCGCTTTCAAAGATAGAACCATAAAAGGTAGTCCTCGATACGAGGAGTAGTAACCCGCCGTCTGTGCAAGCGGGGTGTGTCTAAAAAGGCAAGGATACTCTTGACCTGAATTAAAGATCGAGAATAAAAACCGAGTACCCCTCTTTAATCTCTCGACTTATTCGGAATACACCGTTCACTTACCCGCCAGCTGATCCTCCGAGTAAGATGCCTGGGAACACACAAACGACACATTTCAAGTTCTTATTTTTCTTCACTTTCTTTCATTTACCTAAATTCTATAAACTCGTAACAATATTTTACGATATAAAACTTACCATTTTGATTTTGTCGACTTTCTTTTTTATCTGGATTAACTCTAATCACTCGCGTTTTAATAACTAGGAAGATTACTTGACACTCAATCTGTCAACAGGCGGTGCCGAACTTTAGTTCTTTTCCATCGTTTCTCTATATGCAGCAGTAGCGTCACGTATGAACGATGACGTAGTCGCTCTTCCCACGAAACGGAAGTGACTCATGGATGGTTTCAATTTTTTTCTTATCTAATTTTTATTCTTTTCCTCTCTCTTATATATATTTCTTATAAAAAATAATATTCCTTTATCGATGAGTTTAAGATCGTTAGTGATCGAGCATGATTTTTAAAGGAGTTTTTTTATCCAAATTTTCGTTTCATTTCAATTTTGATTATGACGATCCCTGTAGAAATCAAGGACAATTGAATATACCGCCATCTGGTGATAACCAATCAGATGAGGATTTGTATAACGTCTAAGGCGGTTCTTTTGAATATCTTTTTCATTTCTTTTTTTTAACTTTTATTGTAAAATTAGCAATATTGAATTTATGTGTTGGTGGAAATGTCGGTATTTATTAGAGTGATAACTGTACAATAAGCACGTCATAATAATAACATAACATTGTAACATTAACAAACCTAATAATATACTATATATATGTATGTTAGTAAAGTTAACGATTTATATTTTATTGCAAACATATTATTTGATGAAATCTTTTGCAAATAACAATTCAATTGAATTAATATATTGTATATCACAGAAATATATATATATATATATATGTATTTCAATATCCAAATGTGCCGAATGTGAATAATGTTAAATATGTATTTATGTACAAGATAAATACGTATCTATCATTATTTTTAACATAAAAAAAAAAGAAAAGAATTATTAAGAAATGTATGTAATAATCTATACAACAATTTCAGAATATGCATATCCATTGATCGCATAAATATCAAAAACGTGCTGTTAATTATATACGTTATATAAAAATCGTTTATGTGTGAAGATTTTAGTGAAATTTCTACCAAAACTTTGTTTTTGATGAAAATCCACTTTAAGAAGTTTAAAATTTGACGTATAACATCATCATCATTAACATCGTTATCATGTAGTTTCTCTCTCTCTCTCTCTATCTCTCTCACTAGTGTTTAGAACCGCTACAAAATGATCATCAATTCGATATGTATAATATATACGCGCTTAAAGATAATACAACATATATGTCCATATAAGTTGGTACAATGTTTTTTTCTCTTATAACCCATGAAGATTGTCGATAATATTAGTTCGAAATTGTACTATTCCTGCACATCAGATCACTATATATACATATATGTATGATGTATATTCATATATATATGCATACTTGTGTATCATAGCTTCGTGTAAAATATACATAACATACTCATATCATAATCAACGATTATAATACGTCCTCATAAGTATATCCTACGAGAATATCATTTATCATATCATTTTATGAATCTTCAATGATGTTTTTGTATCTTCAATAAACGAACTCCTAAATCATTTATTCGTATTGTGCTTTTTTATGATACTATACATAATGAAGTATACCGTGGACCATTTCGCGCTTATTCTTCAATATAATTTCCGTATGTATAATACATATATGTATATATACGATGTAAATGTGATTTTCTATATCATCTTTTTTTTTTTTAATAATATTTCAATAAAATACGTTCAACGTATTTATACAATAACGATATAAAAATACAAATATTTTGAAATAACTAATTATAATAAGTTAACAAGAACGAAAAATTGTTTATCAAGCCAAGTCTTGATAAACAATTGTGCCATTTTAAGTAAAAGTGCACGTACAATACGATTGGTCCACTCACAGCATAAATGATGTAAATACATACATTATGTGTATCTTTCCTTTTTATAGATCTCAGTATGTGTAAGTGCTTTATTCAACTTTCAATAACAGAACTTTATTTGATCTTTCAATATTCATGATGCCACTGATCCATCTCAAAAATATATTATTCCGATCCGTTTCCATGAAGAAGCGTACATATTGCATTTTTAAGATTAATATTTGGTGTAAAAGTGGTATCATGTAACGGCTCGTTCGTCATCGGACTTGTATATTTTCCACATAAAAACCATTCGTTTATGGCTGCTCTTTCATATGTAAATCCATCTAAGAACGTAATATATATTCGATGTAATATTAATATTTCATTTTAAATGAATATTTATAAAGATATTTATACCTGAACATTGAACTGGTTCTTTCATAATCTCATGAGTTATAGGACACAGAAATTCATGGGGTATTTCCGTTTCATCTGGTATTTCCACCGCGTTAGTGTCTTCTCTTTTTAACCAGTATAACTGTCTTTTGAATATTTCTACCGTCTTTAAAAATCAAGTATAATATATATATATATATTTTTGTTTAATTCATAAATCATACAACGTTGATATTTTTGTAATACATCGGAATAAAAATTTGCATATACCTCCTCGTCATTTTCTAGGTCAAGTTTAATTAATAATTCATTAACTGGAATATTCAGTAACTGTCGTCCCGTTAAAACCGATGTTTGAGCTCTCTTCATTAATTTCAATAATCCTATTTCGTTCAACCACTTCAAAGTGTCATCGACTTTCCAATCAGCTAACTAAAATACAATATATTCCTCATATGAAATTTGTGCAAATTGAGAGTATGTAAATACATGAATCATCTTTTATACCTTTTTTCTATTATGTTTCAAGCTATCGATCAATATACTTTGAGAGACCAATTGATGAGGTATCCTCCACACTAAAACAGCTTTGTCTAATGCACCTAAAATAGAATATGATTATAAGTGTATAACTGTTAATTTGTCTATAATTACATACTAGATGAATGATAAATGACGCTAAAAAAAAATGAACATACCAGTAATGAATAAAGATGTATCTTCGGAAAATGCACATGACGTCACCAGACTTTCGTGATCCTCGAGTACATACAAACAAGCTCCGGAAAACTGTGGAATATATTTGCATGTATATTTTTGCTCTTATATTTAATTATATAATTATATGTGGTGTGCCCCGATATCCCAAATTATGAATACTCAAACTTTGGTTTGAGTTGGGTTAGGATTCCAAAAGTTAATCAAAACAAGTATATTTGGATATCCGTTATTTCGGAACCCGATTTTTAATTCAAAACATCATTTTAAGGGGTACATACTGATCCAATAAATAGCAGTCAGCAATAAATATACACACTTACAACGCTCCATATGCGTGCAGTCCTATCGGTAGCAACGCTTCCTAAAATTTCTCCATGAATCGGAGAGAATCGTACGTCCATGACGTTACCACCATGCCCAGTCAAAGTTCTTTTTTCTTTGAAACTAATATTAGAGTCACTTGTTCCAATACCATCTGCGGAATCATGTTCCTTGTTGGAAATTATTAATTGCCATAATTTCACAAGAGAATCGTTACCACATGTCGCTAATAGATATGTCTGTTTGTTATTATTCAAATTAGAATCTCCTCCTGTAAAAATTCAAATAGAAATGTCAAATGAAAAGTTACATTATATCTACTTTATTAATAATCTTTTATTATTAACAGGTAAATACTAGCGCCTGTAGAACCAGTCGGACTAAAATCGCATCCTTGAACCCCTAAGTCGTGTGCTTCGTCACAAACTAGTAAAGCTTGTTCGGATTTTTCATTAAGAATATCGAATAATCTCCATGTACCCTCGTTGCAAGCTGTTACCAAATAACGGGAGTCGTGGGTAAATGCTATTGATGTAATAGCATCAGCATGACCTTCGAAAATTCTGCAAGATTGTCTTTAGTTACACGTTAGTATATTTGCATTAATATTAAATAGATAGGCGATACATATCAAGAAATATCCAATTGTTAATCCTTTTTAAATAAACATACTGTAAATGTTGCATACTATCCATATCCCATAACGTAGTTTTTTCATCATCTCCAGCTGTTGCTATCTTGGTACCATCTGGAGACCAACGACAAACACGAAGACCTGATCCAGAATTAACGAACGATCCTCTTGCATGTCCACCATTCTATGATCGTCATGATCACGTTATTTAATAAAGTGGATATAAATATTGAATGAAATAACAAAATTTAGATTACCTCAGTATTCCAAACTATCGTGGTCCCGTCCAATGAACAGGAAGCAAGCATCGTACCACAAGGACTAAATTCTACATAATTCACGCTGTACTTATGACCGTCCAAAGGACTAAAAGATTTCTCTTGAAATCTCATATCTTCCTCGTCTTCCTCATTTTTTTCAATACTCCATATACGTACTAATTTATCCCTAAATTATAATAAATTTAGATTACCAAGAAAATATTTGTCTTCGAGATATACGTCAAATATTCATCAACAAACCCTGAACCAGAAGCTATCAAATTATTCCCGTAAAAAGCAACGCCATTGACCGCTCCACCATGATCATCCATCCTTTGAATTAGTTTCACTTCATTTCCGAAGGATTCTGCGTTCTGTACTACATCTTGTTCGTGTACAGCATTCTAATAAATAAAAAAACAAAAGAAATAAAGAATCATTGCGTGACATCAAACATCGTGTGGTCTGTCTTCGCACGTTAAACAACTTTGTACCTACCTTATCACGTTCGCTTAATAATAACTTTGGAGCACCATGTCGTATAAGTTCAGAATCGATAGTTAGGTTTCCTGTTAGGTCCCACACAATAACTGACTTATCGTTAGAACCTAAAGAATGAAAGCATTGTATTATGGTTCAGTTTATATTTTATTTATACGTTAAAATTAAAAATGAAAAAATCACCAGTTGCTAAAAGATTTCCATCCCTTGAGAATGCGCAGCATGCAACGTATCTGTTGTGTCTCGCTAACACGCTACATATTTTTCCTGTGTTCTATAATCATATAAATTTATTAATTCTATAGGTGTGTGTATATGTGTGCGCGCGTGAGTAGATATATTGCATTAGATATTTATTATATATATAAATTTACCGTTTCCCAAATTATTGCTGTTTTATCAAGACCACTACTAGCAATGTATAATCCGTTGGAACTAAATTTTACGCAAGTTAAGGCACTGCTGTGCTTTTCCATTACCCTGTAAAGATTTATAGTGGCAGAATTTGGCTGAACTTCGCATTTATCTTGAATCACAATGACTTCCCATAGTTTCACGTTGTGATCATTGCCACAGGTAACCAACTGATAAACTTTGGTAAATGGTTCGTTACCTGTACACCATATACACACATATATTTTAGATATAAGAATGAAGATTCTTTTGACTACTGTAAACAAAAAATAATAAGTATACGTATGCACATATTATATACCGACCTGTTATTTCTTGTGAAATTGAAAAATCACACGACACTACACCAAGATCGTGAGCATCGTCTACCGAGGCAAACACGGTTACTGATTGACTATTATTGGACACGCTAGAATCGATCATTTCGGCAGTGGAGAATAAATTCATAACGCCAAATGTACATGTTGTTAATAGCCAGTTTGAATCTGGTGTAAAACATACTCCTTGTACGGCACTTTCGTGTTTCTGAAATGATCTGTGAAAAGAACAAATACAATTGTTAAAAAGTAATGATAATATGATCATATTATTATTATCATTAAGAAAGTCATTTTGTAATTATGAATATATACATAAAACCTTGCCTGATCAAAGTACGATGAATCAAATCCCAAAGACAAATCTGTCCGTTATCACCAGCTGTTACTAGCAACGTTGAATCCTGTGAAAATCTGCTAACTCTTACGGATTCACCACCAACTTGTACCATCGTGTGTATCTTCATTCCCGTCTTTAAAAAAAATACGATATATTACAGATTTATAAACAGTTTGATTTTTATAGAATGTGAACATTTTTTAAAGTGAACAAAAAAGCTCAAATTTTAAGATTTGTATTTACAGTTACACAGGATAATTATAAAATTGAACTATACATTTATTATCAGTGGTTGTCAAAGTTCCGGCACCCACGGACTTATTCACAAGGGTGCCATGATATATTACACAATAATTTCATAATTTTCATTCCATTTGTGATTTCATATATGATATCTTACCCTTAAATTCCATAACAATGTGGTACCATCTATACTAGAAGAAGCTAGCATAGTTGATTGTGGGCTAACTTTGACCGAAGTCACCCCATATTTATGACCTAAAAGTGGAGAAAAGAAAGCTTCGACGTAGCCCGTACCTTGCTGCCATTCCCAAACTCTTACACGTTTATCCCTAATAAATGATATAAAAAATCTCATTATTATTTATAAATATATATATAATAATAAAATGATTATTTTTCTATTCGCTATATTAAAAAACGTATACTACTATATTTAAGCATAAGTATCGATGAAAAGTTGACTACTATTTACCCCGATCCAGTTACTAGGATACAATCGCCAGCAAAATCAACGCTATTTACGTCGCTTGTATGAATCGTTAGGGTTTGTAGAGCTTGTACGTCCTCGATCATGGCAGTCATTGTTATTTCTTCGAGACGGGATTATTACCTTGAATACAAAATTTTCAAAATTATATTATTACACCTATTTCTCTTATATTTTATTTTATTCCAATTTCTTTTTAGTTTTCCTTTAAACATTTTGAATTTCATAAAAACTGATGATACGTATACGCGTACTTAATATTTTTATTCATTATTATTATTATTGTTAATTATTAATTAATATATTTTATTATATTTAGCGTTTCTCCAGAAAATGTTGACAGTACTGATCCACACGCGTTGAACGATGCGTTATGATAATATCAAATAATTTTCTGGCATCTATTCATTCCGAGTAAATGTGTGTAAATATGTATGTGTACGTATACTACACATACATATTTCGTGAATTATTAAAAGAAGGAAAAATCAATTTTGTTCGAGAAGTATACGCGAAATAGTATAGCTATGAAAGATACTTAAATTATGTCGTACGAAAATCTTTCGGTAAAATTATTCGAAATTTCATTGAAATTTTATTTATTCTTTTTTTTTTCTACACTAAAATACTTTCTATACCAACGTAATCATTATTGGAAATATAATATTTGCAATGAAATATGCACGTCTATTATTAAAAACAATATTGTTTATTATAATTAAACAATTAACTAGAGAAAAAAGAAAATATTAGAAATTAAAATTTATTATAATTTCTCATAACGTTATATTAAAATTGTTCCTTAAATTATCGGTAATTATATTCGTAATATTAATAATTATTTATACATTAATAAGAGAGATAATTAAATTCAATGAAAAGAAGAAGAAATGTTTGTACATTTTTTTACTTAAAAAAATGAAAAATAATAATTTTCAATTGTTGAAAGCTAACATTCACTAATCTTGTAATATTGTTAAGATTTTTAAATTTTATTAACAATTAATAAAAGACTGTCGATAATATTATTTTAATATACATATTAATGAAATAATTAAAATTAAAAAAATAATAATTCTATTAAAAAGATCATAAAATGTTTCTAATGACCTTTAACCTTAACACTTCGAAAGATTCACGAGCGTATACTTACTCGTATATTTCAATAATGAATGAGAATGTATTCGACTATCAGTTCTACAGGTGGGAGGCATAATAAAGTATTTCAGCTAAAGACTTTCAAAGTTTCGATCCTTGTCATTTTGTTATCATTATTAAAGACAAGAAAAATATAATAAAATAAAATAAAATATAAACGATATTACAGATATTTAAAAAGTATGGTTAATATATGCATACATACATATATTTATATAAAATTGAAGAAAATATTTTATACAATTGAATTATTATTCATTTTTGTTTTTTTTTATTGCTGGTTCTATTTAAATGAATTGTACATAGCAACTTGTATAACACACAACGCATACATTTACTATGTCAATAATATACCGCTGACGTGTAACATGTAAAATATCGATCGATAATTATGCACATTAATTTTCTTTGGCAAATTATTTAGCTTTATGAAATAATAAATTTAATTATTGTCGGAAAATGAACCGTTAGATAATGCTTGTTATTTCAACATCTAAATAAACATTGATCCTATATTACCGATCAAATTTTTAATAATAATAAAACAAAATTACGATAATACTAATGTTAATAATATTAGGGTGAACCAAACCAAAAATTTTGTTCGTGCATTTATTGTGTAGAAACTTTACTTTGAAATTGCATAATGGGATTGTTGTTTTTGTAAAATTTATACTTTGGAAATATTAATTAAAAAGAACGCACGAATTTTTGGTTCACCCTAATAATAATAATAATAATAATAATAATAATAATAATAATAATAATAATAATAATAATAATAATAATACATAAGAATAATAAGAAAAAGATTTATTCCATTAAAATGTTATTAATAATATTTTAAATAATACTCACAAATAGAAAAGGCACATGTTGCAGACACTAGAGAGAAAAAGTGAAATATTTCGTTGCTCGTTATTAATGAACTTTAATAACGTTCATTGTCACAAACAAATAATCATCTTACATCGTGTTCTAGACGAAATGATAGAATTCTGTTATTTATTGCAACCAATCAAAAAAGTTAGGCCCGTAATGAACACTGGAAAAAGAACAAGACACCCCGAAGAGGGCATCTGTCACAATGAAGTTTTAACGTTAAACGCATGTCCACGTCGAGTCCAAACCTAATCGATAATACAGAGGAGGAAATAGTAACAAAGAATACAGGAGTAACAAGATCTAAGTACCGTTCTGCTCGAAATTCACCTTCAGACTGGCCCGTTATCCTCTGTGAAAGTTGTTTTATTCAATGTTGTTTATATGATTTTCCAAAAAAAGAAATCCTATTTATTATGAATATTATTCCCTTTATACACATGCATAACATTTGGGAGATCATATAAAAAACATTTAATAAAAGAAGTTTCATAAAGGACATCGACCCAGTTCAACGGTTGATTTCGACGGTGCTCCGAACATATACTCAGTGATTCTAAATTGCAATACACATGTTTTTCGATTAATTAACAATTATTTTAATACTCTAATGCACTCATCTTCTATTACAGGAAAATTTTACCCTTGAAGTCATCACTGCATAGGGGTGTTAAAATAATTACATGAAAATAAAGATATTCGTCGTATTTCAATATCGTACGAAACATACATTTTTTAAATATACACTGCATTTTATGAATGCAGACCTCTCACACGTACACGGGTATTTCAAATGGTTAGATTTAACTGCAAACCTTTTAGATTTTCTTCTATTTGAACGCCTTAAATGACTGCTTTTTAAAATATATGTATAAATGCATTTCTGTATTCTTTGATAGTATTGTACCGTCATAACTGCATTCTTTAATTGTATTGCACCATCATAATTGCATTCTTTGCTCATCGCATTAAATACCTACTATCGCCCACTGGTGATCCCGGTAGAAACTAAAATGCAACTGGATATATAAAAAAGGGAACTTTTGAGCTTCTATATACTTCTGTATTCTTTGCTTCAGGTGTTGGTAAATTTTCAAATTGTTGCATTGTTATTGTATACAAATTTTTCAAGGATTTTAAAATTTATTTTACATATATGCACATGATTGTAATATTTTGTAATATTGATACTTTATAATTTTTGATTGATTGGAAATATTTGTATGTAACGCCATAATAGTAATTTCTCAAATGTTTTTATTCATTCTTCTGTACTCTTATACTTTATTACACCGCATCTATTGCATTTGTTTTTTTTAATTTGTATATTTCCATGGTGCGCACGTGCGTACATAACTGCGAATGTTTTACTTGTGTAAGTTTATAACTACATATCATTCGAAATGACAGCTGAGGAACATCATCATCAACAACAAAGCTATTGGACGAAAACTTTGGAGTGCAGGTGGAAAAAGTTTTTTTCTCAGCTAACTTTTAATTGATAAGAATTGAAAATAGGAATCTAATGCCTTTCGGTAGTAAACCTGAGTGTGTTAATTGTGGGACTCGGGAAACACCACTTTGGCACTCAACCGAATCCGGTAATCTATGCAATGAATGTCTTGAGAAAAAAAGATCTACCCAGGGTAATGGTGAAACGAAAAATGAGGAAGACGACAAAAGTGGAATCTTAAAACCAATTAGACGAAGTACGAGGATCACGAGGTATTGTAACTCAAAACCGAGTGCTCCACATAAGATTGTACCAAAGGGTAAAGGCAGGAGAAACCTGTTTAAAAAAACGGTATAATTTCATCCATTCATATTCTATTCATTTAATTAATTATCCTATATTTTTCTTCTTTTGTTCTTTTTTCTTTATAAGCAAGCTTTGTAAGTATATATTTTTTCGTTGTATTTAGCCAGTGAAAGCTCCGACCGCCACTGCAACTCCTGTTACAAGCAATTTTGTATTCTATAAAGGTACTTATTTTCAAGTTGGAGATATAGTTTCGATGCAAGATATAGACGGTGGCATTTATTATGCTCAAATACGTGGATTACTTACTGATCAGTATTGCGAGAAGAGTGCTGCTGTGACTTGGTTATTGCCAACTACTGCAAGGTATCAGGATTTTGTATCATCATGTATTGGTTTTCCATATTGAAAGAGAAATTATCAATTGTAGTCCACCTCCGGAAGAAGGATTTTCTCCAGAAACTTATATCGTTGGACCTGAGGAAGATTTACCACGAAAATTGGAATGTATGGAATTTGTTATGCATGCTCCATCCGATTACTATAAACTTAAAAATACTCCCTATCCACCACCATTATTGGAAAAAGGGGTTGGATATGTTTGGACAACTTTGAGGAATGAGATTAATATGTTTAAAAAATGATGATATTATTAGATCTTATATATTAGATAGATTTTATTTATTCTATTATTAAGAAGAAATAATTATCTGTTAATATAAATATAATTACCTTTTGATTTTGTAATGTTCCTTTTTTTGCTCTTAATCTTATTTCGTTAAACAAAGTTACTTATGTAGTTAAGATAAAAATTTAAGATATGTCAGAGAAATGTTTATTAAATATATTTTTATTACATTATAACATAAATGTTTAATGTTTTTAATAATATTATAAAGGGTTGTGTGTGTTTTTAATAAACAAAATATAAGTATATATTACTATGAATAATGGGAGAAATGCAATAGTTGGTATGTAATAACATAGAATTAGTGTACCTTCAGAACTATACAGAAACAGTATTGAACAGTTTGTATTTCCCAAAAATATAGGGATTAACTGCTTGTTCTCTTTGTATATTGTATAATACAAAATTTCAATATACTTTTCGAATCTCTTAACATTTATGAGACAATTTCATTTCAGTCTTCGATAGAAATTTGTCTGGAAATTCGATCAATTCATATTATCTTTCTTTGTCAAAAGTATTGTTCAGAGTGCAAAGAAGATAATTATTTAAATAGTTTTTATACACTTTAACTCTGATATCGTTGAGACGAAGTGCACGAGGTGTTGGGCAATATTGGTGCATTTTCATTCACTCGAAGGGAAGGAAAGATAATCCTTGAAGTGGTATCGCTTGTACTTGGGATGGCAGAAGAAAGTAGTCAGCTGGGAGCCAACGACGTAATGGATGGTCAGAATTTGAGATCTTTTATTGCTTGTGGTAAGTCAGGTAGCTTCATATCCTTTATTTGTTGAGGAATATTCATATTCTTCACCGCTGATACGGCACGCGCTGGCGCAGCTGTGATTCCCGCCTGCACACATTATATGGATGGACAAAATGGAATATGGGCAAATGCTTGGGATTAATAGATAGCAATTCATTTCTAGGAATGAAGACAAGTAATAATAAATAGCTACACAATACATACTTTTATTTATGGATTATTGCGACGTATACAATTGCAATAAGGCACTGTCATGGAGCAGACATATATAAACAATAGTATTATCATGCGTGTTATGAACGGCGTTTGTATGAAGCTATGAAAAAGACGACTTATTTTTGAAATTCTTAGTAACGAAGAAAAAGAAGAAAGACCAAAAAAATGATAAAAAAGATAGAAGAAATCACAGACAATTATACATAGGACTGAATTTATTTAAAGTGGCCAGATTGTCTACTGCTGATTTACTTAAGGAGGGGGCCCCAGAAGGACAAACGGACGAGGTGAGCAAGATCGTCCTGATCTGTAAGTCCCCTAAAATTGATGTTAGGTTGATCAGTCCTACCACCACATGAAACTGCTTTACGGAGCATACCAAACATGCATAGCTAGCAATCGACAAATTGCTACAAATAATTAACTATTTGAAGCTTGGTTAATATGTGGCATTTATCTTGTTATTCCGCACTTATTCATTGACTTATTCTATTAAATATATATATACATACTCAAATTTTAACAAAATAAAGGACAGTTATGAACATTAAATCATTAAATACAATACAAAGTTCAAAGTAAACTGAGAGAATCAATTAATCTATAAGTCTGTAACAAATTAAACTTTTTTTTAATTAAATATCATTGATATTGATTACTAATAAAATATATATTCTAATATTTCATTGAATTCAGAACACAAATATGGAATATTCATAAGAAATGATATAAAAATGATATATATTTCCTATCTTATATTAAATTAAAAAGCATTATGCAGTAACACTATGTTATCGTATTATTTGCAATAAGCAATTGTTTAATAATATTTAAGCGAAAAACTATAAAAATTAAATATAATAGATATTATAATAGTAGAACTTACCTCTTGTTTTTCCAATTTGTTTTGATCCTCTATTCTAGTGAGTATTTCAGTCATATTAGTTTCTAATACCATACCACCCATCACTAATTCATTAAGAATATAATGGACTTTATCGACATGAAATATAAGATCTAGTTCGCACACATTTTCAAAACATTTGTCCAATGTTTCCACAAAAACTTGTATCAAATCTAGAATACCAAGTTCTGATTCAGAACTGTCAACGCAAAATACAAAATAAAGGGTGGCATAGTGACGATAAATCAATTTATAATCAGATCCTCCTATTAGGCTACCACCTTCCAAAAAGTTGCAAACATTATCGTCTCTTTTCGATACAAGTTGAAATGTCTCTTTAATGATCTGTTGTTGCATATCTTCATTCTAAAAAGTTCAATCAATAATAATGTGAATATAATCTAGGAACTGATAAATTAATCTTTAATCTAGAAAATATCTATATATACTTACGAAGTATTGATAAAACTTTGAAAGACGTGGCTTTCCGTGGTTATTAAAAACCAAAATAGCCTTAATCATGATGACAAAGTTGATCAATTATTTTTTTTTAATTACATATATATTATTATAGACAATAGATTATATATAAGAATGTACAATCGTTGTATATACGTGGAAAAGATTACAATCGAAGATTATTAGACAATAGGAACATTATTCATCCACATTTATTGAAGTTATACTTCTTTTATAATTCAATTTCAATTAGAATATTTATTATACTATAATATTTTTAAACTTGAACTTTTCACAAAACTATAATTTTTTCATAACGTTAATTAATCCTGATTATAATCTGTACCAAATGGAAATATTTTGACCATAAATATATATACGTATATTATTATTATTATTATTATTATTATTATTATTATTATTATTTAATGATTTAATGATTTATCACTGAACTTTAAACCGTGTAGAACACGACAGATAAAATATAAACTACAAGTATAATAGGGAAAAATACTATCAACTTATGTCTGTGAGGTTAAATTACATATATAATAAAAAATGTTGTACGAAAAAGAGATGCACTACGAGGTCTACAGTACAACTGCACCACTTTTAGTTAAGGATAAAGTCCCTTTAAACACATTCGTAGGGCAAGATTCCAGTAGATGGCGTTTAACTGCATTTAAATCTATTGCATACGTTTTTATACCCATACTTTACCACGTGCGATGCAACAAGCTGGATAATGCAAGTAGCATTCCTGCAGTTGCATATAATAATCTCGAAAATATTTGATTTTCCATTTTGTTAAGAGACAGAATTAAACATTTTGTATTATTTAATTAGTGCATATTTACAAACTATATGTTTTTGTAATTTTCAAATAGATTATATTAGAAAAATAAAATGACAAATATCGCACCACCAAAGGTAAAAATCTAACCTAAAAATATTTTGTAAGAATCTAATTTTCTTTCATAATTATTTTGTTAATAATGTTATTTTATTACAGCCTCCCGGAGTACCATCTGTGCAAGAATTTAGTATAAGAGTACCCAAGTAAGTAATTTTTCATTTATTTATCATTAAATTCATATATATATATATATATATATATATATACTTGTATAAAACACAACTCTTATTATTTGTCAGAAACAATAAGAAGAAACATAATGTGATGCGTTTCAATGCAACACTAAATGTTGATTTTTCTAAATGGAAACAAGTCAAAATGGAACGTGAAAATAATATGAAAGAATATAAAGGGGTAGAAGAAGATATGCCAAAGTATGGAGCTGGATCAGAATTTGGACGAGATGCAAGAGAAGAGGCTAGAAGAAAAAAATTTGGTATTACGAGTAGGAAATATAAGCCAGAGGATCAGCCATGGATTTTAAAGTCAGGTGGAAAGACAGGAAAAAAATTCAAAGGTATACGAGAAGGTGGTATCAGCGAAAATGCTGCGTACTATGTATTTACCCATGCCTCTGATGGTGCCATTGAAGCGTTTCCATTACACGAGTGGTACAATTTTCAACCTATCCAAAGATATAAGGCACTTAGTGCAGAAGAAGCAGAACAGGAATTCAGTCGTAGAAACAAAGTAATGAATTATTTTTCATTAATGTTACGTAAAAGAATGAGGAATGATGAAGAAGGTGGAGACGAAGAAGAATTAATAGATGGTGGTAAAGGTAAGAAATCTGGTAAGAAGGATAAGGACTTGAAGATATCAGAAATGGATGAATGGATAGATTCCGATGAGGACGATTCATCGAGCGATGAACAAAGTAAGAAAGGTTCCGATGAAGAAGATAATAACAAGAAGAAGAAAAAAGGAAAATGTAAGCAATTTTAACATCAAACGAAAATTAGGAAGTATCTATGTCTTAACTCGAAACTATATATATTAATATTGTGTTTTATTTTCAGTGGAAATACAAAAGAAGAAGAAGAAAAAAAACGCATCAGACGATGAAGCATTTGAAGAGAGTGATGACGGTGACGAAGAAGGAAGAGAATGTGACTATATTTCAGATTCTTCTGATTCTGAATCCGAATTGGAACAACAGAAGGAGATCAAATCTGTAGCAGAAGAAGATGCTTTAAGAAAATTGCTTGCGTCTGATGACGATGAGGAAGATGAAGAACAGGCAGATAAAAAAGAAGGGGATGAAGATAAAGATGAAAATGAAGAAAATAAGGAAAAGGACGAAAAGGTATGATTATTTGCATACTTTATTATTTTTATTATTTGCATACTTTATATAATTATTCTATTTTATGAAATGTTTATTTGTTTGTTTATTTAGGATAAAGAAAAAGATCCTGTTGGTAAGAAAGATAAGAAGAAAAAGAAGAAACAGAGCAAAAAGAAGGATACCAAAAAGTCTGCACCTGGCAAATCTTCCTCTAGCGATTTGTCAAGCGATTCTGGATCAGAATCCGATACTTTAAAAGAGAAGAATATCAAAAAATCAAATAGTGCACACAGTTCAAGATCCGCAACTCCAACATCCGCATTAACCAACACAGTTGATTCATTTAAGAGAAAACAATCTGGTTCCCCTGATTTATCACAAGCTAAAAAATTAAAATTAGATAATTTTAATCTAGCACAAGTGACTTCTTATATACCTGGCGCCAGGTAAAATCTTTCATCTCCATAATAAATTTCTAACGTTCTATATAAATTGAATTTAAAACTGAGACAATAAACGATTATTTGTTATTTTTTTATTTTATTACAGTGAATCTGGTATTACCGAAGATGCAGTTAGAAGATATCTTATGCGTAAGCCAATGACTACAACAGAACTTTTGCAAAAATTCAAATCTAAAAAGACTGGTCTCACATCTGAACAACTTGTTAATATTATGACTCAAATATTGAAGAAGATCAATCCTACTAAACAAACTATTAAGAATAAGATGTATTTATCGATTAAATCGCAATCGAATTAATGACTAGAATAAATTATTGGATTATATTATATTTTTTAAGCGTATATATCGATTGATATTTTTAGCAAACAATGGTACTAGTTTTATATTAAATAGGTATATGTTATAATAATAGGAATATTGTTATATTAACAAATGCGCATATATTTATTTGTTACTTTGATGAATGCTATTATTTAAAAAAATAATAATAATAAAAGAAAACAATTTGATTATTAATTTTTTTTAAAACTATTTTTTTTGAGGCAAACGGATAATCAAGACACAACAGCGATTGAAGAACAACGTATTACGTTTTTTAATTTTATTATTATAAATTATATCTTATTTTTGTGTTTTTTTAATTTTCAAATGACTCTTGACCATAAAAATCAATAGAAAATTATAGATCGCGTGAAAGAAAATTTGTAAAAACTTTGGGTAGTGTTAAAACAAAATAAACTATTGTGTGTTTGAAGAATTTTATCGTAACGTAACGTTTTTTTAGTTGTACACGCAACTACAGACTTTCAAAAAAATTTATACAAAAAAGAATTTTCTTTTTAAAGATATTACAAAATATATATTAACACCGAATGAAACAGAAATATGTAGCTGCATTATTCCAAAATAGAAACAATTTTGTTGATATTATTATTGATTTGCATATCAATGATTTGTAATACTTAACTTATCAGTATTTAGTTGCTTACTGTAATGAACTCGATGACCTGTAGCGTATCAAAACATTGATATGATTCATGAAAAGCGAGCTAACGTCCTGTTAACTAAAAAATACAATTTTATTCAACGAAAACATTTCTCTTTAGTTAAATCAATCGTTCCTAATGCATGTCTTCAGTAGTGGATGATTGGTGTTGTGTATTTTAACGATAATATAGAACGTCTCATTATTTATACGGGATATTTTGTTAATTATAACAAATATATATATATATATATATATATATTATGTGGATGTTAGGACTTTTCAAATTAGACCAGAAATATTTCCTTTCGTCGAAATTAATAGGTTTATTAAAGCACAATATTATCCGTAATACCAATGTAAGATTTTGATTATTTTCTAGACAATTGTTTATTACATGCTGGTTGTATAAATTTATAAAAGAAATCATTTAATTGTAGACTCTAAAAGGAAGAGTTATAGCAATAAGACGAGAAGATCAATCAGTATGGGAAAGACGAGCACCATTGGCACCATCGAACGTACGGCGATTAGTCCGAGTAGGTGTAAAAGTGATAGTCCAACCTAGCAATAGAAGAGCATATCCAGTGCAAAGTTATCAGGCAGCAGGTGCCTTAGTACAAGAAGATATCAGTTCTGCATCCGTCATTTTTGGCGTCAAACAAGTACCGGTTGATCATTTGATACCTAATAAAACGTATTGCTTCTTTTCACATACAATAAAAGCTCAAGAAAACAATATGCCATTGTTGGATGCAATTTTGGAAAAAAATATACGCTTATTGGATTACGAAAAATTAACTGATCACAACGGACAAAGGGTGGTAGCATTTGGTAAATACGCTGGGGTTGCTGGTATGGTCAACATATTGCATGGATTAGGACTTAGACTACTTGCGTTAGGTCACCATACGCCATTTATGGTACTATTATTTAAAAGTATTATTGTATTTCTGTAATTTACTCTTTAAATCGCACTTTTAATATTCTCCGTATTCAGCATATTGGACCAGCACACAACTACAGAGATTCAGCAATGGCAAGACAATCTATAAGAGATGCCGGATATGAAATTGCATTGGGTGCAATGCCGAAATCAATCGGACCTTTGACTTTTGTTTTTACTGGTAGTGGCAATGTCAGTCAAGGTGGCCAAGAAGTATTTCAAGAACTTCCTTATGAATTTGTACCACCGGAAATGCTTAGAAAAGTGGCAGAACATGGAGGTAATTATTAACAGTTATTATGTAACAATTCTAATTAATTTAGATAGATGATATGTACATAGACCTATATTTATTCAGATACCACGAAAATATATGCCTGTGAAGTGAGACGAAGGCATCATTTAGAAAGAAAAGAAGGTGGTGGTTTCGATCCGGAAGAATATGTAAAACATCCCGAAAGATATATATCTACATTTAGTAAAAAGATAGCACCTTATACTTCGGTTATAATAAATGGTATTTATTGGGCAGTTGATTCGCCAAAATTATTGACTATACCAGATGCTAAATATTTGTTAAGACCTGCTAATACACCTTGGCTACCGATCAGTGTTGGTGCACCAGCTTTGCCTCATCGAATGTTAGCGATTTGTGACATATCGGCTGATCCCGGTGGCAGTATAGAGTAAGCAAATAATAATTATCAGTATATTATATAAAAAACAAACAAAAAAAAAAAAGAAAAGAAATAGAAAAATAATGACATATTTTTTTCACTTCGTTATCAATGTTTACAGATTCATGAACGAGTGTACAACGATAGATACACCGTTTTGTCTTTACGATGCTGATCGTAATAAAGATACGAAGTCGTTCAAAGGTCCAGGAGTTTTAGTATGTTCGATCGACAATATGCCAACGCAACTTCCCAAAGAATCAACGGACTTTTTCGGTAATCTCTTATATCCATATGCATTAGAAGTCATCATGTCGGATGCTAAGAAACCATTAGAGGAACATAATTTCAGTCCAGTCGTCAATGACGCTATTATCGCTTCGAATGGAAAATTAACACCGAATTTTGAGTATATTCAAGAACTCCGACTATTGAATAATCGAAGTAAACATAAAGCCGATAACGGAGATAAACAGAATAAAACGGTACTTTTTGTTTCCTTTCATTTTACAAAATAACTTGTTTTTTTCCATTGTGAAATAGATTGAATTTATTTTGTTTTAGGTTGTGATATTAGGTGCTGGACATGTTTCAGCACCAGTCGTTGAATATCTCCACAGGGATAGCAGTATTAAACTGGTGGTAGTATCCCAATTGAAAGATGAAGTTGATGTACTGGCTAATCGATTTCCTGGCGTTGAACCCATATTTTTAAACGTGCTTGAAAGACCAGACACTTTGGAAGATGTTATTGGATCGGCAGACGTTGTTGTATCATTATTACCCTATTCTTTGCATCATGTTATTGCTAAGGCTTGCATTGAGACTAGAACGCACTTGGTCACGGCTAGTTATTTGAATGACAATGTTAAATGTCTTCACGACGAGTACATTTTGTTTTTTATTTATTGACATTTGTAAGAATTTTCTTCTTTTTAATTAATGATTAAATTAAATATATATATATAATTGTTTGTTTAGGGCCGTTGCAGCAGGAGTTACTATTTTAAACGAAATAGGTCTGGATCCTGGTATAGATCATTTGTTAGCATTGGAATGTTTCGATGATGTACGACAAGCTGGTGGAAAGATAGAATCATTTGTTTCATGGTGCGGAGGTTTACCTGCACCTGAATGCTCTTGTAACCCTCTACGATACAAGTTTAGTTGGTCACCAAAAGGTGCTTTGTTAAACACTTTGGCACCAGCCAAGTATCATCGAGATGGTCAGGTATTGAACGAGTAACTTGTAGTAGACAATTATCAATGACAAGGATCTTTAAGTAACCGTGATAATAATATTCATTTGCAGGAAGTAGAAATATCAGGTGGTGGTGATCTAATGTCAGCTGTACAACCTCTAGACTTTCTTCCTGGATTTGCATTAGAAGGATTCCCTAATCGAGATAGTACTATATATCGAGAACTATATGGAATTCATAATGCTAGCACCGTATTACGTGGAACCTTAAGATTCAAGGGATTTTCTGATACCATACAGGCATTGCAATATCTTGGACTTATCGATCCGAATCCTCATCCAATTCTTCATCCAAATGGGCCAGATATTACATGGGTAATATTATATGATCTACGCAAAATACATTTTTATCAAAAGAAACAAAAGTATTTAATTGCGATACATCTTTGAAATTAATTTCAGAGAGTATTGATATGTAATTTACTTGGGCTGGCAAACGACAAGATATTTTTTGAGAATCTCAAACGAAAAATAGCCGAACGAGTCAATTCGGAGGAACGCGTACAAGCTATCGAAGATTTAGGATTATTAGAAGAAAATTTAGTTTTCAAATTGAATACACCATTGGATACATTAACTCATTATCTTTCGAAGAAACTCTTTTACGAGAAGAATGAACGTGATCTCGTTATACTCAGACACGATATTGGTATATTGTGGCCTGACAATAAAAGAGAAGCTAAAGGAATTAATTTGGTATTGTATGGGGATGCAACAACAGGACATTCTGCTATGGCTCGTACGGTTGGATATCCTGCTGCCATTGCTGTTAAAATGATTCTAGATGGTACGCGACGATTAATCTCTCTATTTATTTATTTATTTATTTATTATCTTTATATGGAATTATATATGATTTCAGGTGAGATTCAACAAAGAGGTATGGTATTACCATTCACGCCGGATATTTATCGACCCATACTTCAGCGTCTTAGAGCAGAAGGTGTCGAATCTTTTGAAACTTCCAAATGGTGGTAAAATATTTTTAGCAAATTTATTTCAATCAAATATTAAACCAAAATTTATTTCTAATTTGAAAAAGGGTAAAAAAGAAATATTTGTTGTTTGTGTGATATATGACAAATATGAAATATTCAAGATATAATTCGAGTCATTTTATATAACGCCAAAGTATCTTTGATTTATTCACTTGGAGGAGCATTGTTAATCATTGACAAAAAGTGGAATTATTCCTGTTTTGTTTACAAACGAATTGCTCTTTATCTCTCTGGCAGCTAAAAATCTTACAATTAATGACTTAGCAATTCTTCTTTCTCTTACAACATTACATATATCTCATATCGGAGATTACGGATTATAAATACATTTAATTCGACAGTGTTAATATGTTTGTGTGTGTGTCTATGTATGTATGTGTGTGTGCTTTTATCTATCTAACCAACGAACATTTCTATTGAACCCTATAGTCAAACTTTGTACGCGTAACGACAATGTGTGTGTGATTTATCAGACAATGATATTTTTCTAATGTAATACAATGTTATGTTATGCATTTCATTATTCGATAATTTATTGTTAGATACTATAACAAACGCGGATGATGAAATATCGGACAAAGTAGAACGCCGAAACAGTAAAAAAGAAAAGAACAATTTCTTTCTAACAAATGCAACGCAACAGTGTTTTTTTTTTCTTATCTACAAAGTATTTTTTTCACAACTCTCTTTCTACCTCTTTTCTCATTCATTATAATCTTTTAACATTCTCGTTTAGTTATATTTTAAACATTTTACATAAAATTGGCAGTATGAGATGGTGAATATGCATTTTAGAGATACGCTCTGCATAAACAATTATTAAAAATGAGATTACAGTATCTTATCAGTGATAATAAATCATACGTATGATTTAACTATTTTTATTAATTATATTTTTTTTCTTTTTCCTTTTGTTTTATTTTTTTTTTACCATAAAAACGTATCCCACATTTATCTCTTTCCCTCTCTCTCTCTCCCTCTTTTTCAACAATTATTGATAGTGTTATGAATATATTAACGCATTATGTAACAATCAACTATTTCGAATGGCAAATAGCAAATGTCTTTCTAAGATTGTTACTACCAGTATTAAAATTGTGAACTAACATTATTTTATACTTATATTTATTTAATTAACTATTCATTAATTTATCCCTACGAGAGACCTAAAACAATCGTTACGTACAACCCAACGATATTAAAAGCATTTATAAACTATTACATAACTATTAAAAACTTTCTTCCTAGAAGAAAGATTAAATAGGATTGACTTATGTATAGTTAGAAAAAGCTTTTCCTATTAACGATTGTATTTCATGAGCTTTTCTTTTTTCTTTTTTATTATTCTCGTCACGCATATATGTTGTTTTATATTTTCTTCCCTTATGAAAAGAGATTATCACTTTTATTTACTTGTATCAGTATTTTTTTTAAATATTTTCAATCAATACTTTTTTGTTAAATAAATAATTAATACAGATATTAATATTTAAATAGATGATCAGTATTTATCTGTCAAGATCACGTATTGATATTTTATAAATACTAGCCAACCATTAAAATAACTAACAATTTTTATATTTTAATCGGTATAATATTGATCAATTTTATTATCTATTGATATTTTATCATAAACAATAATTATTTATTGAAAATACTTCATCAAAAATGTTTAAAATACTGACCCAGTAAATAGCAGCTTACATGATCTCGCACGATCATGTGAGCGAGGTACACTAAAGTATTATTATTAAGTTTTTTTTTTAAATATAATTAGTAATATATAATCCATAATCGTAACGCGGCTAATTAATTATATATATATATATATAAGTACAGTTATTATAATAAATATTTTTTAAAGCCTTGATTAATTTTGTTAACGGACAAATGTTTAATCTAAATTTCATCCTAAGTTTAGAGATTAGAATGCGAATCGAATAAGTTTCCTTTTTGTCGATTGTTATTGATCGTTATTATATAAACTACAACATATCTTCTTTTTTTTTCTTGTACTAATTAATTTATAATTTTTTTTTTTACTTTTTTTATTTTTCATTACTCATGCTAAAAACATGGCTAAACGTATACTAACTTTTTTCTAATCATTTTTAAATACACAGATATCTATCGTTGACAGTTGTTACATGAATAACACGTATGAAAAAATGGAACATTTAAATAAATAATTATTTGATCAAGCTATGTTTTCAATTAAGGAACGTGATAGACTCCTTACAACGATAGTGTGACATGGGTATATGAATATGTATGTCATTTTAGATCATTTCGATACGACTGTGTGCGTGTGCGTGTGCGTATTATTAATTAATTATATATTTGCATAACTTCTTTACGTATGCGTTTTATTTATTTCATTATTTATTTATCCTCGATATTTGGGGTTCCTCGCTTGTGCTTTTTTTTCTTTTCTTTTATTTGTTTATTTAATTTTTTTTCTTTTTTTTTTCGTTTAACCATAAAAGAACACAGTCGATGGAACTTTCGTATGATTTTATTTTAACTTTAATTTTTGGTTTACTTAAGTGTTTTTCCGAGAATATGAGATTTGCAAATAATAATAAGAAACATTATAAAAAATATATCTGCAGTGACCGTAGAAGGCACCGCATCAACAACAAGAACCATATTTCTTTAGCCATAGATCATTCGCATACATATGCCGTATTTTTATATTTATTAATATTATTTATTAATATTATTATTTGTGTTAGAGCTTCTTTTTTTCTTAACTTCCAATATTATAAGTAAAATTCGACAATTAATATTTGGGAATAATAATGAGAGAGAGTTATATCACATTTAATAATTGAATTCTTGTCTTATTTTTTTTTCTCATCCTTAGTCCATTGACTTATTATAATGCAGTTTTTTTATTTTTTTTTAATTCATTATTCGTTCTTATGGTTAGTATCGTAAGAAGCATGTCGATCATTATTTTTTGTTCTTTTCTTATCTATACCGAAACAAAATTATTGCATTTTTCAATCAGTTCCTTCAAAATGACACAACAATATATAAACGTATAATAACAATAATTAACATTTTTATTTGATAACATTTTGTAGTTTAATTCCTTTAGATTTGTATTTTACGTTATATTACTTTTTTCTTTTTTTTTTTTTTTTTTTATATATCCCTGATTAGTATGTATCAGAAGCATATATACTATATATATAAGCCGGTAATTATTTAAGTGTGTTTGAAATTATGCATTTTTTTTTTTTTTTAAATCCATATTTATAATAAACTTAAAAACGATGTCGCGGATCGGTTTTCAAAAGTATAATAAAACTATGGCCCGGAATTATTTTCAATTATTTTGATTTCAGAATTATTTCGAGTCTTTGTTTATTTTCTTTGCGTATTAATATTTGTACTTTTGGAAGAGTACATATTTCGTTATTAATTTCTTTTTTTTGGTATTTCAGCATCCGTATTAATATTTTATGTAATTATTTTTCTTTTTTATTGTTAGTAGAGATGGAATTATTAAAGTTCTTCTTTTTAAATACTTGATCGAGAGACACGAATAGGTGGTGTATTGACGAGATTAATAGTATAATGTTATTTTTCAAATAAATATATAAATACATATATTTATATATATATATGTATCCCGTTATGAATGTAAGCTCGATACGCTGGCATAAATGTGCTACTTTCGATGCTGTCATGTTTTATTTTTCTCGTTGTCATAGTAATGCACGTTAGTATATAATTTAGCATCGCACGTTTTATCTTGATCCCCGTTAAGACACTACGGCAATAAACGCTTAGAGATCGATCGGAGTTTAAATAAAACGTTACGCCATTGATTTTAGTAACATGAATTATTTCTTTCTTTCTTTCTTTCTGTTGCAATTCTTTTTTTTCTTCTTTCAAATAGGTGCTTATTTTGCCAATAAATTATAAATATATAAACTATGTACGGATTTTAATGTAAACGATGATGGTGATGAGAAAAAGGCATCATTGTGATGACAACTGTCTTATGTACGTATAAATACGACATATGTTTTTTTCATTTTTCAATGAATCATGCACACACACATATACAAACAAATTAAAGTTTTGAGAAAAATTGTAAGTAAATCATATTTCTCTTAACAAAAATTCTACTTTACAACTTATACGTATATATATATCGGAAATGAATGAAATAATATAATTATTATATATATATATATAAATGGAATTTATGATTCGGCTTATTCTTGTGTAAACACATTTCTTTTATATACACAATTTTAATAATTGTTATTTTTATAAATTGCAATATTGTATTATTGGACAGTCTTAGCGAATGAATGATTTTTAAATAGACACGCGAGAATTAAATACATTTGTGAAATAATTAGATCAAAGAATTTTCTAATCTCAAAGCATACGAAATCACATTTTCTTTTTCTTTGAAATATTATTCTTTCAAACTAATTCTTTTTTCAGTCGAAAGTAAATTAATTTTTATAAATCTAATCAAGACATATTATTTCACAAATGTATATTATAAAATTATGATCAGTGGCAGTACTAGCGATACAAAATTTCGATCAGAACCCGTAGGATGTGTATGTATATGTATCTGTGTGTTTATTACGTTGAAAATAATGCAATTAATAATACACTAATTGAAATCGTATGCTACGTGTTTTATGAAAAACTGCAGACAAAATTTGAGTATACTTATGACTCGATGACGATTACTAATTTAATTCTATGATAAACTTTAACGCGTTATTGTTGCTTTCTATTTTTATGCATTACATCCTAATTACAATAACTTGGTGTTTAGTTGGCATTGATTTTTTTTTGATAATCAATGCTCTTCTTTAATCAATTTGACAATTTTATTTATTTATAATTTTTCCTGCCCTCTCACTCTGTGCGATTTTATTTATTTTTTTTTTTTTTATTTATTTTTTATATTATCATTATAATTATATATTATTAGCACAAGCTTGAAAATATTCATTTTGGACTTTACTAAATAGGTACATTAATTTATTTCTTTATTTTTCTTTGTTCAATCTGTTCCGAAGAAAAAATGAACACGCTCCATATCTTTCTTTCTCTTATTTTTCTTTCTTTTTTTCCTTTTAACTTTTTATTTTAGTTTAGATAAGGATATGTGCAGTCGTAATATAATCACATAGATATCTAATCCGATAAATTTAATAATCTTAAAATCGAATTTTATCTACGATCACATTTATAGAAAAAATAAAAAGAACAAAAATATCTAAACTAACATATTTTACATTGTAATATTATACAATGTACTTTTAACGAATTCATTTATTTATCTATTTATTTATCTTCACTAAAAATTTTAAAATACAAACAGCCGGTGGTTATTATAAATGAAACGTATTTAAAAAAAATAAGAATAAAAATAAAAGAAACGTCTCTATTGCTTTATTTATTATCGAAAAGCATTCGTTGCGTCAGAGGGTACCGGAAGAGGGTTGCATCAGAGAGTTCCGGAAGAGAGTTTTATTTTCTACGAGTTTTATGATTTTTATTAATTTATGGATTTTAAAAAGTAAATACCATGACCTCTACTGAAATGTTATTTTTAATATTATTATTATTATTATTATATTATATTATATTATATATTTACTTCTTTTTTCTAAGATCGATATTTGGAAGATTTTTGATATAATATTCTAATAATCTAATTCTCATTAGTGTAGTGTACCACATACACCGATACTGTCTCAAGATTGTTTCTTTTGAATTGTTACGTTCCTAAAGGAATATTTATTATAATATTTCTTTATTTTTCAGATTTAAAAGTGCTGTGTGAATTTTTAGTTTGTCTCCCTATCCTTTTTTTCTTTCTTTCCTTCTTGTTTATATATTTATAATATAATACTTAAGAGATTCTTACATATGAGATTCTCATGAGATTGGAACATGAATTGCTTTGATGGCGATTTGGCACCTTTTTTCTTTCATTAAATTTGTATTTTTTATTATTATTATTATTATTATTATTATTATTATTATTATTATTACGGTTCTTTTCATAGGAATATTTTTAATAAATTATTCAACAATGTTTGTTTCTTTCTCTCACTCATCAGTTTTCCCCTCAGTTTTTCTGCGTTACGTTGACAATATCATCGATCAGTTTTTCTGAATGAAACGCTTGTTAATAAATAACTAACAGAACGGTTATTCCTTACGAATCTATTTATCTATTTTTCAAAGTTTCTTTTTTTTCTATTTAATATATCCTAGGATTTTCTTCTAGAAGAGAGCGATGAATTTAAATTCGATTAATTGAAATCGAATCTTTCCACACTCGTGCGATCTTACTTGCTTACTTCGTTCAAGCTACTTCTAATTTTTGAAAGTTGTCTCTTACTCCCTTTTTTATTTTGTTGTTGTTCTTCTTTTAATAAATAACGCTTCGTCAAACGTATATTTTATTACATTTCATTGCACTGGAGGCAGTTGCAGTTTTTGTTATCGTCTGGAAAAGATAGAACGAAAAAAAAGATAGATTTTAGAAGCGATTGATTAATCGATTAAAATACAAAGCAAAAACATCCAGGATTACTATTTGAAATAAAATAAAGATTCTTTTAATATTTAATGAAAATTTTGGAATGATTCGTCTCCTAATTGTATAATTATTTGTAGATTTTCGTACCTTTAACAAAAAAGAGGAGCTTCAGGTTGATTCCACCAATGAGCTGCCAAAAGTAAATAAAGTTCTTGATCCTGTACAGTATATCCTGGTGGTGGTTGCGAGGGTAAAGGCGGAGGTATCGGTGGTAACAAGGAATAGGAAGGCGGTGGCGGCGACGGCGACAAAGATTGTGAAAGTGTAGGCGGTGTAGGTGGTGAAGGAGGCGGTGTTGCTGGTGCCGTTTGTGCCAGACGTGCTATTGCATTTCTTCCAGATACATCGTCCTCCGACTTTTCCTCTTCTGCCGGAGATCAAAGCGCACTGTCGAATATTGCTAATGATTTTGTGATCACGTCATCCTATAAACGTAACGAACCAAAATAATTTTCCAAGTTAATTGAACGTAGCATGATATTCCAATCAGATACTTTTATCTTGCCCATTTATATTTCGTCATACCTTAAGACAACTCTCGATGAATTCCTCGATAGTGATAACACCATCTTGATTAAGATCTAATTTCTTAAAGACCCTATCCAGTTGTTCCCTAGCTTTTCTGTCCTCTTCCGCATGATGTCTTCTACCCATGAGTTCGTGCACTGCCGTAACCATTTCTCCTAATTCGCTTCTCGTGATGCAACCATCCCCATTTATGTCATACAATTTGAAGGTCCATCTTAATTTTTCATAAATGCTACCACGCAAAAGGGTCGACAGGGTTACCAAAAGATCCTACAACATATTATTAACACTTAATCGTTAGATATGCGTGAATATTAAATTAAAGGACACTTGTTAATCTGTTTGAATTACCCTGAAGCTGATGGCTCCGTTACAGTTAACGTCGAAAGCCTTGAATACGTAGTGAGCGTAGAGGCTGGAGTCTGCAATTCGCATGAGGGGTCGCCATTAACTAATTTACGCAAAAATCGTATCTCATATATAATTGGAACTCACTGCCATGTGGGAAGAATTTTGCGTATATATCCTTGAAGGAGTCCTCGTGAACCAAGCCTTCCGGGCATTCCTGAAAGTAAACGAAAATATAAACAACATTAAAAAAAGAAACTTTTGCGTGTGCTCGTGTTTGTTTGCCGGGTCTACTTAATTTATTCGTCTCTAGGCCTCTTCTAACACCCCTATTATCATTATTTACGTTCTCAATCTGTTTTACCTTCTTTCTCATTCTTCAAAATTATCGCTCAAGAATTAAGCGACCCGTACACCTTTCTCGTTAGGCTAATTGGCGACGAGGTCTCTCACTTAAACGAGTTTTCCTCCTTCCTCATTACGATTGGCACACTGCTACGAATTTCATATATACGTATATAGTAAGTACATATAATGTAAGTACTCCTGAAGTTTCGCTACTTCATTTTTTTTCAGATTTTTTATTTTTTGCCTCGCCGAGATTTTGTAATTAAATATTACAACAAAACACACGCATATACACACACATCAAATTTTTGATTAACGATAACGAAATAAATCATTTTGTTTAGGTGAGAACCATATTTGAAGAACACTCGAAAAATGAGAATTCCGCATACGATTAGTGAGAATATTTTCAAAGCCTACAAGTAATTAATCTAATTTCAAATACAATTTTTCATAAATTTGTTTACACTTATATATAATTGTTATCTCATTTTATACAGATGTTCGACGGAAAGCACTTTATTGCCATACGAACAAAAAAGAAATATTCGTTCGGAAGATTTCAAATGGGACGAGGGCATTGTACCAGAATTGAAGATACTTGCTCTTAATGTTATCGTATCGACATGGAAAAGTAGACCTATACTCGAAGAATTACCGAGTTGTATGGATAAAATTCTTCTTATAGAAACTTTGCCAACTAATCTTCCCTTTGAGTTAACTATTACAAAAATTCCTTACGAATATTATTGGGAACGTGCTGCTAAAGATAGGTTAATCAGTTTTTTTCTGTATTTTACATTTGAAAACATATCAGAGCAGCGCCACTCTTGCTGTGCCCTTTGTTATATTACGTGTACAAATAAGTTTCCGCCGTTTTTTTATTAAAAATTAAGTATTTATTCTAGAAGAATGGTAATTTTAAGGTTATTTAAAATACTGTCCATCACTTGCAATGACTTTTTCCCATCTCTCAGGCAACATTCGGATCCCACGTCGGAAGAACTCCTTGTCTTTTGAGGCTATCCACGAATCAACCCAATTTTTGGTATCTTCATATGATTTGAACCGCTGCTCCGACAGAGCATGTGCCATGGACCGAAATAGGTGATAATCGGACGGTGCAATGTCTGGTGAATACGGCAGGTGGGGTAACACTTCCCAATCAAGCGTTTCCAAATACTTTTTCACGGGAGCCGCTACATGTGGACGATCATTGTCATGCAGGAGAATAATTTTTTCGTGTCTAGAATAGTATTGAGGGCGTTTTTCCTTCAGAGCTCGGCTCAATCTCATTAATTGTGTTCGATAGAGGGCTCCGGTGATTGTTTCGCTCGGATTAAGCAACTCATAATACACTACACCCAACTGATCCCACCAAATACACAGCATGAGTTTTTTTCCGTGAATATTCGGTTTTGCTGTTGATGTTGACGCATGGCTTGGTAATCCTCATGATTTTCTTCTTTTTGGATTATCATAATGTATCCATTTCTCGTCACCAGTGATGATACGATGTAAAAAACCCTTTTTTTTATGTCTAGCAAGCAGTATTTCACTTAAGCATAATCGGCGTTCAATATCTCTCGGCTTTAATTCGTACGGAACCCAATTTCCTTGTTTATTAATCATTCCTAATGATTTTAAACGATGTGAGAATGCTTGCTGAGTGACTTCTAATGTTACAGCAAGTTCTTTTTGTGTTTGAGATGAATCTTCCTCCAATATTTCCTCCAATTCTGCATCCTCGTAAATTTTTGGCCTTCCACTGCGATCTTTGTCATCTACGTCGAAATCACCGTTTTTAAACTTTTGAAACCACTCACGACACGTTCTCTCACTCAAAGCAGTCTCACCATATGCTTCTACGAGCAATCGATGCGCCTCAGCAGCAGATTTCTTTATATTAAAGAAGTAAACTAATATTTCCCGCAAATGACGCTTGTTTGGCTCAAATTTGGACATTTTCAACTAAAAAAAATTATATTTTACCAATATRAAATCAATAATATTAATAGATTATGTTGTTCTTAAACGTCCAAACTAATTTTTAAGCAGGATATCATCTGCGAAAGTTAACGGAAACTCCGCGCCGCGTTATCTACATTAAAACGGCGGAAACTTATTCGTACACCTAATAGTTTTAAAGAAGTTGAAAGTTACTAAATAAATAAGAAAAATATCTAATTCATTTGTTCCACTTATATAAGATTGGACAATAAATTGTGAATTGTTTCTCGATTAGATGGTCATATAATAGTCCAAAAGATCATGGTAAATCATGGAGAAGACTATACTGCGAACGTCACTTGGCCGAATATCTGGAAAATTTCGAAGCAAGTTACTTCGAATCGCAAAAAGATGATTGTATAAAACTCGTTAAACTTGCGAGCGAGCACGTGCGTATCTTGAAATTGCGTGCTCTAAAACCTACCAAGTGAGTGCAACACACAAAGGTGCCAACGAATAATATATATCTTTTTGACTGAATGCGTCTTCTCTCTCTCTCTTTCTCATACACACATACATATATATATATATATACACAATATTTCTAAAGATTATTAATAGATACTCGTTCTCGGGCTCTTGGCTAAAATCGTCTCTACGTTTGCACTTGAAGCTAAGTCGAACTTATGTATGCGAAGTATTTCAAATCATTCGTAGTGTTTAGAAAAGAACAAAATTCAAATTTATCAATATTAAACCGAAGTATCAAAAATTATTATAATTGAATTAATAAATGAAATTGTTATTTTCAGAAAAGCATCGACAACATTATCGATCGGTGGTCCAGATTCGAACAACGATGATTATGTAGTTGAACATATTCCCATGTCGATAATCTTACCACAATTACCGTACTTAACTGAAATGTCCTTGAACATAGGTATGATTTATATGAACGACGGTTTCGAATGGAAAGATTTTCAGTAAGTATTATAATAAGATTCACCCTCTAAAATAACATTTAATATATTGGACAATCTTTGTTTCTTCTTCTTTTTAAAAAATCACTTTAGTACTAATTTGTGTCTCAAGAAATTCATTGAAATATATTTTCTTTTATAAGGTTTTCAGTACAAGATTGTTCGAATCTTGGTGAAGGGTTGAAAGCTTGCCGTGATCTACGAAAATTCAGTTTGACGAGAAGTAATTTAGATCGTGTCAGGGTTGCTGCTCTTCTTCAGAAACTTATTGGAAATAAAAATGTTAATGTCAAACGATTATACAATTAAAAAGGAATGAAATTCTGTAGGTGCATCTGAGAACTTGATATTCGACATAAAACAAGGATGTTATTAAAAAGAATTGTTAATATTTTCAAAAATACTAATCAGTATTTACGATGAGATATCAATATGTAATCCTAGCTCAAGCGTATCCCTATTACAAATATTGAACACCTATTTAAAATTGTTCACACATCTTTTTGCATAAACCTTTTAAGTTTATACAATTTCATTTGCAGAAAATAACAAATATGTGATTTGATAAAAAGAAGAAGTATTGAAATCGATATCTCAGAAATTGAATTTGATTTCATATGAAATTCTTTCATGTACTTACAGAATCGAAAGGCACAATTTGTTTGAAAATGATGTTCGTTTATTTGATCTTTGTTCTTAAAATAGCTGAAAGAATTGGATTTCTCTCATTGCAAGTTATCCGATTCGGGTGCACAAGCGGTAGCTGAATTTTTATCATTACACGGACAACTGCAAGTTCTTCATTTAGCCAATAATAATATCGGTGCGGAAGGTGTATCCGGTATAGTTTACGCGTTATTAAGAAAAAATGGTACGATATCTTTGAGGCATCTTGATTTAAGATTGAATCCTTTGGGCGATGCTGGGGGTTCTCACATTTGTGCACGTAAGTAAATAATAAATATATAAGTAAAAGAAAATTTATCGAGAGAAGATGAAAAACGATTAAAGAGAACCACTGATCTTGTTAAAAAGAGCACAATGACATTTGTATTTGTTAACGGACAAATTCGCAAGAGTCTTTATTTAAAAATCTGACACTTGCAAAATATTGTAGACATTGCACATGGGTATATGACATAATAAAAATGATGTTTATTCGTTTGAAGTGCTGTTGAGAAACAACCACGTAGAGATTCTAAATGTCAGCAGTTGCGAATTGAGCTCAGACATCGGAGAAGCAATAGCCGAGATACTCGAATCTACGGATATAAATGTCACTTCGTTGGAGATTGATCTGTCAAACAACAATTTTGGTCCAATAGGTGAATCTGAGATTTTCTATTAGGACGTCAAACTTGAAGTTTTTATGCATACAGTTTAGATACATGTTAATTGTGTCATCTAAATATATATAAAATGATATTATTGGTTGGGTCACGATTACGTATTGATATTTTATCATAAATACCGAATATTTAACATACATTATATTTCTTTGACTTTATTTCATTTCTATTTTATTAACATTTCCACATTTTTATTTGTACATATTTGCATCTATCTATTATATATTTATTATTTCTTTACAGTTGGCAAAATGTTTGACAAAGTTATTCAAACGAATAGGAACATTTTAAAATTCGATGCACGAATGTGCAATTTTACGAAGGAATCCGAATACTCGATATGGCAAAGTATACTTAGGTGAGCCATCATTCGTATATACATATCTAGATCATTTTCAATTAATTTGAATTTTCAAGTACTCTCACGATTCGATCGACATCAAATCACTCGTTTAAGCGAGATAATGAATTCTTCAAAGTGCATTTTGCTAATGTAAGATTATATTATTATAATATAATGACACGAAGTTTGAATATAAATTGAAAAGAAAAGAGAGAGGTATTGGAAATGTTGCTAAAATTGTAAATAACACGTTGTTAGTTAGTTGAGACACAAGGAAATAGAAGTTGAACTTTTTTTCGTAGTGCTCGTCATCGACGAAGCTCAACGTCGTTGCAATATTCATGAATATCGATCCTCTCTTTCTATCTCCGTTGAATTCGTTGGCATCGGAACGCGTGGATCTAATCGAGCACGAGCTAGGGAATCAACCAAACGAAAATAGAACTAAATTTACACGAACGAGTAGTACAAGGAAAACAATTTATTTTCCTGTTAAAAAAAAAAAGTAGAACAAACAAAAAGAAATAAGATTGATCGATCGGATCTAAATGCGTTATAAATTAATCCAATGTCCCCCTCCCCCCGCCACCCCCCCAACTATTCGGCAATTTTACAACTCAACAATTCTGCGTTGTTTTATTCAAAAAGTTCTTACCTCGCGATAGATTGTTGGCTAAAAGCCAAACTTTAATACGATCGTGGAGAAAATAAGAATTTATTATCTTTGGAATTTTGTTCATCGGGCTCGACAAAAGAAAGTCAAAGACCTATTTTTGTTTCATTTTTTTTTTTTTTTATTACAATCGACGAGCAAAAAAAACAAGCCCAAAAAAAGATGTACAAAATGTATATAATAGATGCAAAAGATTTTAACCTAAATATCTTGTTTTCTCAGAAACAAGAGAGGAAAAGGTAGAAGAGCATCGTCAAGGATTTCACGAAGAAGTACCCTACGCTCGTTATCACCTTCCAAGTACTCGAAAGAAGAGAAAGGAAAAGAAAAAGGCATCGTTTTAGCCGAAGGTAACGATCGATCAGATTTTAACTTAACTTTTTACTTATTAATTATATTCTATATTTCAGACGAGACTCCAACAACCATAAAAACGATACTCGATTCTCGAATCTACGGTGAACGTTTCTTCAAATGAAATTAATCAAATGGTGACTAACATAAGTGTAAAACTTAATAATATGCTAATAAATGTTCACAAATGTTAATATACATTTGAAACTTCTTCTTATTAGCCAAATGTTTAAATACAAAAGTGGGGAACGAGTTTGCGTATGCGTACAAAGATGAGATCATTCGAAAAGCCAGCAAAAACGGGGAACATCGCAGGAAAGTCGATGGAAATTAGAGCATTCGAGCGTGTATGGAGTTCAAGGGGATAATACATATGCATTTATATATATATATATATATATATAAATGTTAGGCTAAGTGCCCTCGAACGAACTTGCACGCGATCACGTCAAATTAAATTCCACTATCGAAGAATACCAAATTGCGCGATACGATAAATCCGTAAAGTTTGCTGATCAAGATGACCTTTTCTTTCCTGATTTTGATCGACATTGGACAATTAATGACAATGATTTAACGATAAACTGCAAACACTTCGATATATACACATTTTTGTTTTTTTAAACATTCGATATAATACGTACTATCAAAAAATTCATTCATAAAAATCAGTTAGTGATTTTGAATAATATATATCGATATTTATGAATGATCGACTCGTTGACCTAGCCCTTCGTGAAAAAGATACACGTCAGAATATGAAACTCGTAACTAATCTTTTTTTTTTACAAATTCATCTAAATTTATACATATGTATATATATATATATGGGTCATTCCATGTCAAATCGACAAATTTTTTACCTGACCCCCTTTGATTTCGCTGAAAATTTTCTATCTTTTTCTACCCCCCGAAAGTTATTTTTCWGAATTTTTTCAAATTTTTTTTCCCGACTCAAAAAAAGTTATGAATTTTTGAAAAAACCGCTCTTTTATTTTTAAATTGTCAGAACTTTTTCAAAAATTGACCGTTCGGGAACTTTTTCTTTTCAAAATTTTTGTTTTTAAATGTAGTTTTCGAAAAAAAATATGAATAAATTTTCAGAATCCCAGATATATGAAATATTTTAGTTTTTTTGAAAAACCCGTAATTTTCTCAAA